CCTTTAATTTACATCCCTTGGCAGTACCGGTCAACCTTCGTAATTGTATCGGTGTGATGTAACCCCTTTAATTTACACCCCTGACGGTACCGGTCAACCTTCGTAACTGTAACGGTGTGATGTAAGACCTTTAATTTACATCCCTGACGGTACCGTGTAGTGGTACCCGTTTCTTACTTTATTATTGTGGTCAACCTTCGTAACTGTATCGGTGTGGTGTAACACCTTTACTTTACATCCCTGACGGTACCGGTCAACCTTTGTAACTGTATCGGTGTGACGTAACACCTTTGATTTACATCCCTGACGGTACCGGTCAACCGTCGTAACTGTATCGGTGGGACGTAACACCTTTAATTTACATACCTGACGGTACCGGTCAACCTTCGTAACTGTTTCGGTGTGACGTAACACCTTTAATTTACATCCCCGACGGTACCGGTCAACCTTCGTAACTGTACCGGTGTGACGTAACACCTTTAATTTACATCCCCGACGGTACCGGTCAACCTTCGTAACTGTACCGGTGTGACGTAACACCTTTAATTTACATACCTGACGGTACCGGTCAACCTTCGTAACTGTTTCGGTGTGACGTAACACCTTGAATTTACATCCCTGACGGTACCGGTCAACCTGCGTTACTGTATCGATGTGACGTAACACCTTTAATTTAAATCCCTGACGGTACCGTGTAGTGGTACCCGTTTCTTACTTTATTATTGTGGTCAACCTTCGTAACTGTATCGGTGTGGTGTTACACCTTTAATTTACATCCCTGACGGTACCTGTCAACCTTCGTAACTGTATCGGTGGGACTTAACACCTTTAATTTACATCCCTGTCGGTACCGGTCAACCTTCGTAACTGTATCGGGGTGACGTAACACCTTTAATTTACATCCCTTGGCAGTACCGGTCAACCTTCGTAATTGTACCGGTGTGATGTAACGCCTTTAATTTACATCCCTGGCGGTACCGGTCAACCTTCGTAACTGTATCGATGTGATGTTACACCTTTAATTTACATCCCTGGCGGTTCTGGTCAACCTTCGGAACTGTATCGGTGTGGTGTAACACCTTTACTTTACATCCCTGACGGTACCGGTCAACCTGCGTTACTGTATCGATGTGACGTAACACCTTTAATTTAAATCCCTGACGGTACCGTGTAGTGGTACCCGTTTCTTACTTTATTATTGTGGTCAACCTTCGTAACTGTATCGGTGTGAAGTAACACCTTTGATTTACATCCCTGGCGGTACCGGTCAACCTTCGTAATTGTATCGGTGTGATGTAACCCCTTTAATTTACACCCCTGACGGTACCGGTCAACCTTCGTAACCGCATCGGTGTGACGTAACACCTTTAATTTACACCCCTGACGGTACCGGTCAACCTTCGTAACCGCATCGGTGTGACGTAACACCTTTAATTTACGTCCCTGACGGTACCGGTCAACCTTCGTAACTGGATCGGTGTGACGTAACACCTTTAATTTACGTCCCTGACGGTACCGGTCAACCTTCGTTACTGTATCGCTTTGACGTAACACCTTTAATTTACATCCCTGACGGGACCGGTCAACCTTCGTAACTGTATCGGTGTGGTGTAACACCTTTGATTTACATCCCTGGCGGTACCGGTCAACCTTCGTAATTGTATCGGTGTGATGTAACACCTTTAATTTACATCCCTGACGCTACCGGTCAACCTTCGTAACTGTATCGGTGGGATGTAACATCTATAATTTACATCCCTGACGGTACCGGTCAATCTTCGTAACTGTATCGGTGTGACGTAACACCTTTGATTTACATCCCTGACGGTACCGGTCAACCCTCGTAACTGTATCGGTGTGACGTAACACCTTTATTTTACATCCCTGACGGTACCGGTCAACCTGCGTTACTGTATCGATGTGACGTAACACCTTTAATTTAAATCCCTGACGGTACCGTGTAGTGGTACCCGTTTCTTACTTTATTATTGTGGTCAACCTTCGTAACTGTATCGGTGTGATGTAACTCCTTTAATTTACATCCCTGACGGTACCGGTCAACCTTCGTAACTGTAACGGTGTGACGTAACACCTTTAATTTACATCCCTGACGGTACCGTGTAGTGGTACCCGTTTCTTACTTTATTATTGTGATACCTGACCGTTTTTGTATTAAAGCAACTTGAATTTACATCCCTGACTGTACCGATCAACCACAGTACACGTATCAATGCAATAATACCACTCTTATCTGTAACAAATTCTCACTCTTACGGTGAATGTCCTTAAGTACATTGCTATACATTAAAGTTCCTTAAAAAGAATCGTTGAACATAAAAGAAATGTGCATGAATGGTATTTAATTCAATATTCTTTGAATGAAAATTAAATTTCTCTCTTCGGAGAGCATACTATTTGTGTTCTACATTTGTTAAAGAGGAACAAAAAATCTTAAAATGAATTTATCCTAACGGATTTTAATTCATGCACAAACAAAAACATAAATTCGGTTATGAGCATATTAGATGTCAAATAAAAACTATTTGCAAACGAAGTTAATTTTTGTTCCATCGAAACTATTTCGTTAAAATTCGTTCCAAGGAAAAAAAAGGTTAAAAAAATTACGGCGTTTCAACTATTTTTATATAGTTTTAATTCTTGTACTGAAATGAACTTAATTTGACCAATTACCCGAATGACATTATTTTCGTTAAAACGATTATCTATCCTAATCAACCTTTTTCTTGGGCGGATTGGTCGAATGGCTAACACTCCGGCCTTCCACGCAGGCGGCCGGAGTTCGACCCCCGAAGTCGTCGTACGCATGGATATGCAGAGAAAGTGTTATTTCTCCTGCCCACACAACTCAGGTGGAGTATAGATTGATCTTGGGTGGATGTTGCGGTATCTGTGCTGTAGCATCCAAGTGAGGTGGCACTATAAATGATGCCGTTGGAAGCAACGTCCCACTACAAACAGAACACATAACATCTCTAGCAACTTATTAGGCAGCGCTTACGAATTCCTCAAAATTGTATTGATTAATGTATGCTTATTGTATTAATTGTATATCTATGTACTGTAAAGCGCTTTAGAGTGGCTTATGCTAGGAAGATAGGGCGCTATATCAAATGCTACATCAAATATAGATATATTATTATTTGCTGACCCTAAACTAGCTTCTCCCTGAGACAACATATCTCCAAAATTAAAAGAAAAGTGTTCACAAATGCCTTTTATGGTCAATTTTTGTCATTTGTTTTTTACAAATTCTATTGTCTTTTTTGAATGTTTGCCATTTTGTCATTGTGGACATTCTTTGAAACATATCACTTTTATATAGGTCGTATCTACTCTGTAAAATGTGTCGGTATGTATTTAACAAATGTGTAAGAAGTATCTAACAAGAGAACTTTTATTGATATTCTCCAATGTATTAACAGCTTAAGTTTGTTATCTCTATACATGTGTACTGGGGCTAACATTTTTATAGTATCTTGTGATGCTCATCGAGATAAAAAAAAAAAGGTTACTGTGCCTTAACTTCGTTTTATAATATTTACGATGTTGTATATATTTGGGTATGCCTCTGTTAAAATGCGCTTCATGACTTAAAGAAGTATAGTTATATATGTCGTGTATTTATTTATTTAATTAAGCGATATATTTGTAAAGCAATGGTGTTTGACAATGCAAAGCGAACAAGCCGTAACACTTGTTCAAAAAATAGAATATAAACTTTATTTATTTTACGCCAATTAAGAAACAAGTTATTTCAACTTATATTAATCACTCTTGTTGGCCCGGATGTTAGCGCGCGGGGGTTCTTATTGTGGGAGGAAACTGGAGTACCCGGAGAAAACCCACGTGTTCGGGCAGTTGACCCCATATCTTAATTTCACGTCCGATCGGGGAACCGAACCCCAGTCGGCTTGGTGAAAGGCAAGTGCGCACACAATCACCCAACACATGTTCATAGGGATGTTCCTTTCGCGTATCCCGGTTGAAACAGTTCAGGTGGAGCAGAAATATTCCACTATAAACGAATGCACGTGGACGGAACTGTAGGCATAGCTAAAATAACTTTAGGGGAATAATAACAATATATCAAGAATAAGACTTAGCAAGAAACCCAGTAATCATGTTGTTTGGTATTTTTGAAACTGAAACTGAAAAAGTTTTTTTTTTTTTTTTTAATATTAAAATATATCATATATTTGTGCAAATTAAGGAGGAAAACCCCTACAATTACTGAATGGAAAACTTACATGTTCCTTTTATAAAAAAGTAGAAGAGTGTGGACTTGATACATATTCAAATAAAAAAAGATTATGGTAAATCAAAAATGGAATTTCATTGACAGAATGCTAAATATGGATACATGATTGGAGTTGTAAGCTTGTTTTTTTTTTTGATACAATCTTCAGAGTTAAATCAATCATTAAATATGTCAAAATGAATGTAGCAATGTACCGGAAGTTTTTTTTTTTTTTTTTTTTTTTTTTTTTTTTTTTTTTTTGATATATTTGTATTTGTTGTAATAAAGTGTTATAGATGTAAGTTCTGTTCAAAGATATAGTTAACATACGTACAGTGGCCTTTCATTATTCTTACTGATATTACATATTTTTGTATGTTTTGAATGTGACAACAAAAATTTTGAATAAAAAAGAAAATAATAAGATGCCATTCTTTCATGCGTCCACTAAATTATATAACGTATCTAAAAATCTACATATGGACTAGAACTACGGCTGAACCTCAGGGTTCAACCTGGTTGAAGTGGATACGCCAAAGGGGCCTTACCGCCAAGGTAAACGAGTAATAATATAGGGGTCACCATCTTTGTCGCAGAAAAAACACACCGCCATATGCTGTAATGCTTTGGTTCTTAATTTTGGTTTGAGCCACAATTCCAACTCAGCAGGTAAATGCGATGCTGCTTGACAATGCAAAGCGAATGCGCCCAAGTACACACAAGTACTTCCGGTACAGGCGAGGTTAGTATTACACGTGAATATATATATTCTAACAGACCTCATATAGCACAAAACGCACGCTGTAACGATCGACCTGAATGATGAGACGAAGGAGCAAAAAGACATTACTAGCACAAAGACCTACAAAAGTTGGTAAGATAAGTTAATATGCTACGATATTATAGGTGTTTGAAATTCTGATTTTATATCGTGTCATCGGCCACAGGGGCATGGATCGCTTTACTTGTAATATTAAAAAATAGGGGTCTCCTATACTAATATGTATTTATTAGTATAGGAGACCCCTATTTTTTAATATTACAAGTAAAGCGATCCATGCCCCTGTGTCATCGGCATTTGTTTCTGTCAATAAAAATGGTCCCGAAGAAAACCGTTGAAATAACCGATTACGATGACTGTCATAGACATGTTCACAGTTTTCTAATGGAAACAGAACAAAAATGCATCATACACTGTACTTTTTTTATTTTATTTTTTTATTATCTTTTTTTAACAAATTTCACCCGTAGGCAACAGGTACATTGGTATCCAATACATCCATAATATATTCTATTCCCCTAATGAAATTACCCCTCCCAGAAAGCATGCGATTATGTCTGAAATCGATAAGAAACTGAAAATATATAGATAAGAATGACATTTACCTGAAGCTAACGTCCCGGCTATACTGTCTCGGCCCTATCTCAAACCATTGACAATTAAACGCAAAGTGGAAGCAAGGCATTTTTAACAACTTTATCTCAACAAATATCGTTGAAAATAGTGTAACAAACAATAGCCCCTGTTTTCAAACTATTGCTACGAAAACAGAAAACACTCGGGAACTCTTTATTTCCCCAGGACTATAATAGACAAGAACCATCTTCAGGACGAACAAGTCCTTGTAAAATCTGTGGAGATTTTTAAATCTCATCTCCACTCGGACTAAAAACCTCCATGCACTCTCCCCTTCCTTTGATTATACGCAGAAGTGGTCTTTCAACGTACCTATACAGATACAGAACGACCAGTATGGTCAGTTTTCCTTTGGGAAAACCCTGTGATAAAAAATACTACGACAGACATAGCAAAACATCCGAGTCTCTCGGCGAGACGTAAGCATTTACAGTGTAATATAACACTGTCTGCCAACAACACAGTGTCAGTGAGTCTGATTGCGTACGAACATTACATGCTTTATGAATGAATTTTTAAGCAGAATATATATAGACTAGGAGCTCCAGCAACTACAGGTCGATCTAGGCCTATTCCATCACATACAATTGTAAGATGCAACTGGAATTCAGAAAGTGTTTTAGCTGCATATTTCAATGAAATAAACAAATAAAATATGTTTATTTCACTGTTATTGTTCAATAATTTAATCTTGCTTGTAACAAGCATTTTCATTGGCTTAAAAATTTATGTTATCAGCCCATAACGTAAAAAAATGACGTCGCCGTTTGTAACGTCGCTTTTGATTGGCTGGTACAGCAGCGCAATAATTTCTAAAAGAAAAAGAGTCCATCAATAAAAGTGGATTTCCACAAGGAATGTGTATAGTAGATAAAATTATAAGGATTAACTTGAATATATTTTTCATGTTATGGAGCTATAACACAAAAAATGGAGTGTACTCTCATAAACCGCTTTGCGGTTTATTTAGAGTACACTCCGTCTTTTAGCTGCCATACCCCAGCGTACGTCGTACGTCCGTCCGTCCGTCCGTCCGTCATCCGTCCGTCATCCGTCCGTCAACTTTTCCTTTAAAACGCTACTAGTCCTGAACGGCCAAGTCGATTTTGACTAAATTTGGTCTAGAGTATCCTTAGGCCAAGGGGACTCAATTTTGTATAAACGGTGGGTGTGGCCCCCCTGGGGGCAGAGGGGCGGGGCCAAATAGGGGGAAATAGAGGTAAAACCTTGAAAATCCTTCTTCTACCGTAGGGATTAAAGGATTTTATTCTAATTTAATCTGCAGCATCCTTGGGCCAAGGGGACTCAATTTCGTATAAACAGCGAGTGTGGCCCACCTGGGGATAGAAGGGAGGGGCTCAATAGGGGAAACATAGCAAATTCTTCAAATACCTTCTTCTTCTGTACGAATGACAGGATTTTGTTCAAATTTGGTATGAAGCATCATTGGGTGAAGGGGAACCAATTTTGTATAAACGATGTGTCTAACCCCCCTCGGGGCAGAGAGGCGGGGCCCAATAGGGGAAATAGAAGTAAAACTTTAAAATCCTTTTACCATAGGGATTTAGGGATTTTATCCTAATTTAGTCTGGAGCATCCTTGGGGCAAGGGGACTTAATTTTGTATATGCAGTGGGTGTGGTCTCCCAGGGGGCAGAAGGGCGAGGGCCAATAGGAGAAATAGAGGTAAAACCTTTTAAATCCTTCTTCGACCATCGAGATTAAGGGATTTTTTCCATATTTAGTCTGGAGCATCCTTGGACCAAGGGGTCTCAATTTTGTATAATTGGTGGGGATGACCCCCCTAGGGGCATAGGGGTGGGGCTCTGTTTGAAGTTTGTTCTCGCTATATCTCAAGTACTGGATGGATTTTTCTGAAATTTCATATGTACTTACAGCACCTACCATGGAGTGCTATATCTTTACTTCATACCAATTATTTTAAACATATTCAGGTTAATCCTTAAATATAGAAAAAGCTATGTCGGTAACATATATCTTTATTAAACAAATTTCTTTGTAAAATCATACCACTTAAATAGGGTCACTTTCAGGTTTTTGACAGCTGACACACGTCGGTAAAACTTGTTTCTGTTAATATCATGTTCCAGTTCATATCATGTTTCCTCTCACAAATGAGAAGTGATTTTAAGCAAAATCTACTGCATCAATATTTTGAAGTAATACTGTCACGCAAGAGTCGGTGACTATATATTGAACAATTGACTCAATATCATGCTTTCATAACAAATAATCCAGTAAAATGTCACATTCTTACAAAATCATCTGATCTTTTCATACCGCAGCAACGAAGTTAGGGGGGGTCTACTAGAATCGCCCTGTCTGGATGTCTGTCTGTCGTCCGCAGTAAATTGTCCAGAAAACTCCTCCTTAACTAACTGGTGGATTTCATTGAAACTTTGCATGAATGATCAGTATCTTATGTAGTTGTGCACTGGCATTTCATTTTGGGATTTCAACCCTTTTTGATGGAGTTATACCCCTTTGTGCAAAATACTTGTTTATTTTTTGGTTATTTTATTTTTTTGTTTTTAATAAAATAATGATTAACTCATTACTGCTGGGAGACTATATTGCTTTGCATTAGTTAGCCTTTAGCTTACAGTTCTGGTTTATATAGGAGTGGGGGTATTAGTTAGCCTTTAGCTTACAGTTCTGGTTTATATAGGAGGAGGGGTATTAGTTAGCCTTTAGCTTAGAGTTCTGGTTTATATAGGAGTGGGGTTATTAGTTAGCCTTTAGCTTAGAGTTCTGGTTTATACAGGAGTGGGGGTATTAGTAAGCTTTATTCTTTCTGTTCTGGTTTATATAGGAGTGCGGTTATTAGTTAGCCTTTAGCTTAGAGTTCTGCTTTATATAGGAGTGGGGTTATTAGTTAGCCTTTAGCTTAGAGTTCTGGTTTATATAGGAGTGGGGGTATTAGTTAGCCTTAAGCTTACAGGTCTGGTTTATATAGGAGTGGGGGTATTAGTTAGCCTTTAGCTTACAGGTCTGGTTTATATATGAGTGGGGGTATTAGTTAGCCTTAAGCTTACAGTTCTGGTTTATATAGGAGTTGGGGTATTAGTTAGCCTTATGCTTACAGTCTGGTTAATATAGGAGCGGGGGTTATAGTTAGCCTTTGGCTTACAGTTCTAGTATTTGGCTATCAAGCATGGGACGAGATGCAATGTTTACTACGTCAAATGCCAAATCAGCCTGAGACATTTGCAGAGCTTTCCCATGCGTTAGTTCACATCTGGAATGGCATTCATTCCCAGGCATTTTTCAACAATCTTGTTGGATCCATGTGGCTTGCATTACTGCTAACGTTGGCCACAACCGATGTTGACGTTGCAAATTGGCTCCGCGTACACTTAATGTTTGTTGTACCCTGGTGATGAAATGGGTATTCTTTTTACAATTTTGAATGAATTGATCTTTGATGAAATGTGTCTTTAAGTATACATTTTTTTCTGCTTGTATAATAGTTTTTAAGTTTATTTATTCCCACCAATCGAAAGTTCGAGGGGATATAGGATTCCACCTGTACGTACGTACATATGTTACACTATTTGTCATCGCTCTAGCTAGTAGCGACTTCATTCCTCAACTGAATTTCATGAAACTTTATACAAGTGTTTGCAATGTCAATGCCTTGAACAAGTTCGCGTTTCAGGTTTTTGTGTTTGAGGTCAAGGTCACTGTCACTATTTTTAGAAGAAAAAAATTGTCACCACTCTAGCGACTTCATTACCGAACTGAATCTTCTGAAACTTCATACAACTGTTTGGTATGACAATTCCTTGAACAAGTTTACATTATGGGTTACTGTGTTAAAGGTCAAGGTCACTTTGACTATGTTTAGAAAAAAAAAGTCATTGCTCTACTGACTTCATTCCTCAACGGAGTCTCATGAGACTTGATACTAGTGTTTAGTATGACAATACCTTGATTAAGCTTACGTTTCAGGTAAGTGCATCAATGGTTAAGGTCACTTTAACTATTTTTAGAAAAACTTTGTCATCGCTCTATCGTCTTCATTCGTCAATGGAATTTCATGAAAATTCATATGGCTATGCTTTGTCAATGAGTTCGTTTTTCGGGGTTTGTACCTTGAAGGTCAAGGTCACTGTTACTATTTTTAGAAAAAACTTTGTCACCGCTCTATCGACTTCATTTCCTCTTATGTCACAATGTGTGAATGCGAGGGGATTTGTATCACTTGTGATGTCTTGTTATTCTTGATTTGAAATGTATACAATTGTGGGTAAAAACCTGATGAGCTTTTGAGACCAACAGGCCTCTGGTTTTAAAACTTTTAATAAGATTCCCAGTTAGCATGAATATGAATGAGAAATATTTTAAAGTGTCCATATTAGTGATGTTCAGCTGGTGTTTTTTTCAAAATGTGTATGATTTTGTATTTAGTTATTGTTTCAAGAACAAATTCTAAAGATTTCACTGAAATCACATTATAAATGTAAATACTGACACAAGACAGGCACAGTTTTGTGAAGTAAAGATGATATTGATGTTAATATCAAAAATATTCTACACACATTTTCAGAAAGTGACAATAGCTAGAACTGAACATGAGAAAATTGCCAAATAAATTTGACTGCTATGTTCATGGCAAAACAATGAAGAACAGGTAGGTGGTACGTGGCCTTTGTCCTTGGCATTACAAGAAATTTACTTTCTTTTTGTGTTTCAGGTTAAAGACAGAAAACATTGCCTGGAGTATGGGAATCACTGAGTGGGATTGCTGAATGGATACCTATATTTGACAAGAGGACACAATGATAAAGTTAATATTGACAACGGGTCGGCAGCATATATTTAGTCGCTTTGTAAGGAGATTCACCATTGTTCATAGCTATGGTACAAAAGCTGGTCAATATGAGGACTTGAACCGTGCCTCCTTCGACTTTAACCATGCCTCCTTCCAAAAGGCTACTTTTTATCTGCATAACTATGTACAGAGACTCCCATACAAAGACAGCAAATGTATCCCCAATGACAAAATATTACTTTCGGTTTCCGATGTAGAAGAACTTCAGTCTTGTCAATCATGTGTCGAGGCTTACAAAAGTATTTTGAGTGAGGATTGCAGAATCAATGCCGTGAAAGTTAACATTTTAGATGCAATCCAGAAGAAAATTTGGAACTTCCATATAATTGATTTAGACTTTGAACAATCCTTTGAACTCATTGAGAGGAGTATCTTGAGGAAATATCCTTGTGAGCACTTAATACGCGCCCTGTTCATTAGAGCAACAGAAAAGTTTGAGGTGTATGACTGGGATGCAACATCCATCACTCGACTCATGTTAATCCCCATTGTGTATAGAGACGTCCCACGCGCATTGATGCGCAAGGTGCATGCATTTGTCTGTTTGAACTTGAAGTTGTTTTCTTTGAAAGATTTGACAGTGATCGTGAATGCTTTTTATATAGGAAAGTTCAATTATGATAATACAGATTTTTTAACTTCTGCAGCTCTTTACAAAGCACAGGAAAATCTTGGTAGCATGGGCAACGGACAACTATCCATACTCCTCAAGGTATGCCACTTTCGCCGAGTCAGCAATATTGCAGCTTTGTCTGGTATTGCAAAAGATTTGATGAAGGACGAGGAAGTTTTGAAAAATAACTGCAGGAATTTCATGGACGTTTCACAATTATTGAAACAATATGCGAAAGCCAAACTTGACGTTCCTGAATTTGTGACGGCTGTGTTAAGTGTAATGCCAAAACCTGAAATCGTCAATATGCAACTGAGTAATGACGTCGGCATATTTAAACTGGGAGAAGATCAAGCTCGCTATGCAGTTCGGCTCAAAGATATTGGCACATTATCGTGGGCTCTTGGGTCTATGACCTATGATATAGACAACAGGACTGGCGTCCACTCCTATTTAAGTGAATTGTTCACTGCCATTTATAATCCAGGGAACAGAATGGACCATAGAACTCTCAAGGATTTCTTCTTTGGCCAAGTTGTTGCTGGAAGATTTACACCCGTTTTCTTCAACTACATGAAAGACACCATTACCCAACAATTGTTTGGTGAGAAAAATATTAAGGAAAACATTTCACACTTTTATCTATGCACAATTTAGTCTTACTGTTTATTAAACCACCACTAATTCTGTTGTCCCACTTTATCAAGCCACCACAGGTTTCTCATTATTTAGCTCACCTAGCCCCCTGAGAGGCCAAGTGAGCTTATGCCGTGGAACATCGTCATCTGGCTTTCGTCTGCCAACTTTTTTCCTTTGAAATGCTACTAGTCCTTAATGGCTCAGTTGATTTTGACCAAATTTGATCTGGAGCATCCTCGGCCAAATGTTTCTCAATTTTGTGTTAGTGGGGTGTGTGTCTCCTCTAAGGGCAGAGGCCTGGGGCCTAATAGAGGACAAAGAAATTAATTTTCAAAAACCTACTCCTTCCCTACCAATGAAGAAATTTGACCAATACTTGTTCTAGAGCATCTTTGGACAAAGGGGACTCAATTTTGTATGACGGTAAAAATATAAAATGGTTGCATTTGGCCGAAGGGTAAGTAACCCAATATGGGAAATAAAGGTGAATTTCCAAAATCCTTTTCCTTCTGTTCAAATGAGTGGAGGGAATTAACAGAGCTTTTGTGGGCAAAGGGGACTTGATTTGGTGTAAATGTAGGGTGTGCCCCCCACCATTGGATAGAGGGGTTGGGCCATATAGGGGAAATAGAGGTAAATATCTAAAAATCTTTCTCCTAACCAATGGATGGCTTTAAACCAGTCTGGGGCATCTTTGTGCAAAGGGAACTCTTTTTTTAGCCCACCATCATCTGATGGTGGGCTATTCAAATTGCCCTGCGTTCGTGGTCCGTCCGCCCGCCGTCCACCTTCCGTCCTTAAACAATTCTTGTTATCGTTATTTCTCAAGAAGTACCAGAGGGATCTTTCTCAAATTTTATATGTAGGTTCCCCTTGGTCCTTAGTTGTGCAGGGCAACTTTTGAGGCTGATCGGATAAACAACATGGCCGACAGGCTGCCATTTTGGATTTTGATAGTGAAGGTTTGTAAATGCTATTTCTCAGGAAGTACTGGAGAGATCCATCTCAAATTATATATGTAGGTTTCCCTTGGTCTGTAGTTGTGCATGTTTATTTTCAGACTGATCGAATTATTCGGATATAGAAAATTGCCGACATGCCACAGTCTTGGATTGTGACATTAAAGGTTTGTTATCACTATTTCTTAGAAAGTACTGGAGGGATCTTTCCCAATTTTGTCAGGTAGGCTCCCCGAGGTCTGTAGCTGTGCATGTTTAATTTTGAGATTGATCAGATAAACAAAATGGCCAACAGGCAGCCATCTTGGATTTTGACATTGAAGGTTTGTTATCGCTATTTCTCAGTAAGTGCTGGAGGGATCTTTCTCAAATTTGATATGTAGGTTCCCATTGATCCCTTGTTGTGCATGTTATATTTTGAGACTGATTATAAAAGCGAAATGGCTAAAGGAAGAACTAAACAGATCTTTCTCATATTGCAATGATCAATTCTATTTCTTTCACATTAAGTACTGAACTAGTAAATATGTGAAATCACAAACTCACTTTGAAGGTTGTCTTTTATACACAGCAGTATTAAGTTTAGATCAAAAGTTACCTCAAGGTGCATTTACTGTTAACTTGACTTTATCAAACCCAGATTAGAGAAAAGAAGAGAAAAGATCGAACTGACGAAGATGGTTCAATGGTGGGCGCCAAGATCCCTCTGGGATCTCTTGTTGTATTAACGGAGGGTGTGGGACCGACCCCTAGTGACAGAGGGTTGGGGCTTAATAGGGGAAACAGAGGTAAATTGATAAAATCCTTTACCTTTCATAAGAATTGAGTGATTGTATCCCCACCCTATAACCGAATATACGATTGCTAGGTATGAAGAGAAGAAAACATTCATGCTACCATGATTGGCCTGGAGGTCCAGGCGGTGGCACCCCTTGGGACTAAATCTGTGGGTCATAGCATGGAAACAGTTCAGATCCCCACCCTATAACCATATATACAAAATTGCTCGGCATGACAAATACACATATGTACTTGTTGTCTTGTCCACTTAAAGGGATTGAGTTCTACTTGCAGCTTGTATTTCTTGTACCCCTTTTATATAATTGTATGGTATTCAGCAGGTTTTAAATTGAAATACAATACTAGGTAAACAAATAATTAAGGCACCTAGGCCTCTTGTATATATCTTCCACTAACTTTGTTGTCCCACTATAAATTAAACCACTACTGATCCTGTTGTCTCTATATATCTAACCACCACTAACCATGTTGTCCTAGCTCCGACATATCCAGCCACTACTGATCCTGTTGTCTCTCTATATCTAACCACCACAAATCTTGTTGTCCTAGCTACGACATATCGAGCCGCTGCTGATCCTGTTGTCTCACTATATCTGACCACCACTAACCATGTTGTCCTAGCTACGACATATCCAGCCACTACTAACCCTGTTGTCTCACTATATCTAACCACCACGAATCATGTTGTCCTAGCTACGACATATCGAGCCACTGCTGATCCTGTTGTCTCACTATATCTAACCACCACTAATCATGTTGTCCTAGCTACGACATATCCAGCCACTACTGATCCTGTTGTCTCCCTATATCTGACCACCACTAACCATGTTGTCCTAGCTACGACATATCCAGCCACTACTAACCCTGTTGTCTCACTATATCTAACCACCACGAATCATGTTGTCCTAGCTACGACATATCCAGCCACTTCTGATCCTGTTGTCTCTCTATATCTAACCACCACTAACCATGTTGTCCTAGCTCCGACATATCCAGCCACTGCTGATCCTGTAGTCTCTATAAATCTAACCACCACTAACCATGTTGTACTAGCTACGACATATCCAGCCACTGCTAATCCTGTTGTCTCACTATATCTAACCACCACTAACCATGTTGTCCTAGCTCCGACATATCCAGCCACTGCTGATCCTGTAGTCTCTATAAATCTAACCACCACTAACCATGTTGTACTAGCTACGACATATCCAGCCACTGCTAATCCTGTTGTCTCACTATATCTAACCACCACTAATCATGTTGTCCTAGCTACGACATATCGAGCCACTGCTGATCCTGTTTTCTCACTATATCTAACCACCACTAACCATGTTGTCCTAGCTACGACATATCCAGCCACTGCTGATCCTGTAGTCTCTCTAAATCTAACCACCACTAACCATGTTGTACTAGCTACGACATATCCAGCCACTGCTGATCCTGTTGTCTCACTATATCTAACCACCACTAACCATGTTGCCCTAGCAACGACATATCCAGCCACTACTGATCCTGTTGTCTAACTATATCTAACCACCACTAACCATGTTGTCCTAGCTACGACATATCCAGCCACTACTGATCCTGTTGTCTCTATATCTAACCACCACTAACCATGTTGTCCTAGCTATGCCATATCCAGCCACTACTGATCCTGTTGTCTAACTATATCTAACCACCACTAACCATGTTGTCCTAGCTAAGACATATCCAGCCAGTTCTAATCCTGTTGTCTCTATATCTAACCACCACTAACCATGTTGTCCTAGCTACGACATATCCAGCCACTACTAATCCAGTTGTTCACCACAGATCAAGTTGTTACTAATCCTGTTGTCACACTCTAGATTAGGCCTCCATTAACCCTGTTCTCTTATTACCGGGATGTACAATTCCACTTGTCAGACCCCAAGGGCTAATAGATTTTATTTTAGGCTGGTAAAAGTTTTCAATATTTTGTATGAAAATATAGGTTGGGCAAGTAAAACTTCTCAAAGTTTACCTTTTGGTTAGTATTCTTAATTGTTCACCCCTACCTTATATCTACTCTAGTAAGCCTGTCAAGAAACTGGAGTACCAGGGCCTGTATTCATGAAACAGTTTTCATGCTCAAGCATGGATTCTGTGCTCGAACCCTCTTTCTTGTTACTCACTTAAATCATGTCAAACAATCAAAAAGTCACATGTAAACATTGAAAACAGTTTTCAGGCTTTTAGTTCCTTCAATGTTTTTTTTAAATCATTGACAAAAGAAGATTTTTAGCTCACCTGCCCGAAGGGCAAGTGAGCTTATGCGATGGCGCGGCGTCCGGCAACTTTTCCTAAAAATCGCTACTCGTCAAAAACGATTGAGCAGATTTTGACCAAATTTGGTCAGAAGCATCCTTAGGGCAAGGAATTTTTTTTTTTGTGTAAATGGTGGGTCGGGCCCCCTGGGGGCTGAGGGGCTGGGCCCAAAATGGGAAATATAGCAAATTCTTTAAAATCCTTCTTCTTATGCAGGAATGAAAGGATTTGTTCCATATTTGGTCTGAAGCATCTTTGGGGAAAAGGGGAACCAATTTTGTATAAATCGTGGGTCTGGCCTCCGAGGGGCCTGAGGGGCGGGGCCCAATAGGGAACACATAGTAAATTCTTTTAAATCCTTCTTCTTCTGTAGGAATGAAAGGATTTGTTCCATATTTAGTCTGAAGCATCCTTGGGTAAAGGGGAACAAATTTTGTATAAACCGTGGGTCTGGCGCCATAGGGACCTGAGCGGCAGGGCCAAATAGGGGAAACATAGCAAATTCTTTAAAATCCTTCTTCTACTGTAGGAATGAAAGGATTTGTTCCATACTTGGTCTGAAGCATCCTTGGGTGAAGGGGAACCAATTTTGTATAAACCATGGGTCTGGCCCCCGAGGGGCCTGAGGGGTGGGGCCAAATATGGGAAATTTAGCAAATGCTTTAAAATCCTTCTTATTCTGTAGGACTGAAAGGATTTGTTCCATATTTGGTCTGAAGCATCCTAGGGTGAAGGGGAACCAATTTTGTATAAACTGTGGGTCCCGCCCCCCCCCCCCAGGGACCTGAGGGGCGGGGCCAAAAGGGGGCAATTGCGCTATATTTATTGAAGCGACTCTTCTCTGGAACTAAGAGATGGATATCAACCATATTTGACTGGAAGCATCCCTCGGTAGTGGAGATTCAAAATTGTAAAAATGTTTGGGCTGACCCCCCCAGGGGGCTGAGGAGTGGGTCCAAAAGGGGGCAATTTGGCTATATTGCTATTAACGACTTCTTGTGTAGAATTATGCCATGGATATTGATCATATTTAGTCAGAATCGAAGCATTCATGGGAGGCAGGGATTCAAAATTGTACAAATGGTGGGGCTGACCCCCCCATGCTAAGGGGTGGGGCCAAAAAAAAAATATTACTTGGAAATGGTTGAGATCCCCACGGTATAACCATATATACAATTGTGGAGTATAAAGAGAAGCATGCACATTTGCTTCCAGGATGGCCTAGGGTCTGGCCCCACCCTTTGAGACATAGTCCCTTGGTCATAACTTTGAAACGGTTGAGATACCCACCCCAGAACTATATATACAAATGCTGGGCATAAAGAGACAAAAGTTGTCATGATATTAGAATAGACCCTCGGGTCTGACCGAACCCCTAGGGACCTTGTTTCTTAGTCACAGCTTGGAAGCAGTTGAGATCCCCACCCTATAACTATGCATATATACAACTGCTGAGTATAAAGAGATGAATGCACATATGCTTCCAGGATGGCCTTGGGGTCTACCCCATCCTTGCAGACTTAACCCCTGGGTCATAACTTTGAAACGGTTGAGATCCCATCCCCAAGAACATAAATACAAATGCTGGACAAAAAGAGACGAATGCCGTCATGATATTAGAATTGATGCTGGGGTCTGGCCATAACCCTAGAGATCTAGGATCTGAGTTACAGCTTGGAAACAGTTGAGATCTCTACCCCATAACCATACATTAAATTGCTGGGCATGAAAAATCTAATACAGACATACTACAAGAATTGGCATTGGGGTCTGGCATATTCCCTTGGATCTCATTTGGAGAATATTTTGCCATGATTGCTTAGATATCTAGGTGAGCGATTCAGGCCCTCTTGTTTTGTTAACTTCTAGCAAAAACAAGAAATTCAGCTTGAACACAAAATCCATGCTTGAGCACGAGAACGATTCAAGAATACAAGCCCTGATCTCCTGGTGTAGGGTAATGTCCATGATATTTGGCCTGTTGTATGCTGGGAGGAAGAGATATCAAGTTTGCTCATGTGAATGACCTTGTTTATAGGAATCTGGGGCTATACAATTGTAACAGTGTACCTGTAAGGTTACTGTGTGTCATCATCCATGTCAGCAAAGGAAACAAATGTAATATTTCAATATTCCAGCCACCTGTTTCATTTCAACTGATTGGGGATGAAAATTTATCTTTTTGTTTAATGTTCACAACCCAGATTGCTATAATTTTTTCACGGCTGTATTTCTCCACGGGAATTTTTTAGTTTATGTATCAGATATGTGAGGAAATGACTTGGGCAAGACTAGCGATACACAGTATTTATGAGTGAACATTATTCAGTCCAGTGGTTTGATTTCTTGAAAATAGCTTCAAGGTTGCGTAACCTAAAACCATTGGTTGTTTCTTATCAGATTACTTTTCTATCTATATACTATTGTTTGTTTTGCAGAAGAATCAAAGAACAAATATACTGCAAAGCCCCGAGGAGTGTTGACCATTTTACTTCGTGTTTCCATGGATATTGAATGTCCGGAAGTGAAACTACCGGAACTTCCCAGGGTAAAAAATCCCCATCATCTTAAGCTCACTTGCCTGAAGGGTCATAGTGGCCAAATATGTCAAAAACTTTTAAACACATTCTTCTGAAGAACGAAAAGGCCTAGATTCATGTTATTAGACTGGTAGCTTTTTAGGTCACCTGAGCTTTGCTCAAGTGACCTATTCTAATTGCTTTCCGTCGTGCGTAAACTTTTTACATTTTCAAATTCTTCTCAAGAACCAGTGGATGTATTTTTTTCATACTTTGTCAGAATCATCCTTGGTAGATGAGGCTACAAAATTGTAAAATTTGGATTCCTAGAAGAAGTTTTTTTAAGCGTTTATCATATTTGACCCCTGTGACCTTGAAAGTAAGTCAAAGTCATTTTCATGCTCAAGCTTTGTCTGGCTCTAGCCCAGCAAGCCACCAGCCAAATATGAAGTTTCTGTACCGTTCAGTTCTTTAGAAGAAGTTGTTTGAAGCGTTAGACATAGATGACCACTGTGACCTTGAAAGTAGGTCAAGGTCATTTTCATTCTCGAACTTTGTAGGGCTCCATCCTAGGAAGCCACCAGGCAAATATGAAGTTTCTATACCGTTCAGTTCTTCAGAAGAAGTTGTTTGAAGAGTTTGACACATGTGACCTTGAAAGTAAGTCAAGGTCATTTTTAGCTCACTTGGCCCAAGTGAGCTTATGCCGTGGTGCGGCTTCCGTTCATCTGTCTGTCGCCCGGCGTCAATATTTAAACAACTTCTTAATAACCGAAAGGCGGTGATGATATTTGGCCTAAAGCAAACTGGAGCAAGGGGCTACCAAGTTTGTTCAAAACTTTAAACAATTCCTTCTAAATAACAAAAATGCTCAGGGTGATGATATTTTGCTAGTATCATGCTGGGATGAAGGGCTACCAATTTTGTTCAAATGAATGACCTTCATCCATTTTCAAGGTCACATGGATCAATTGTCTTAAAAATCTTTCAACAACTTCTTCTTAATAACAAAGAGGCCTAGGATAATGATACTTGGCTAGTAACATGCTAGGATGAAGGGCTTTTAAAGTTTGTTCAAATGAACGACATTGACTTATATTCAAGGTCACAGGGGTCAAATATGTTTAAAACCTTTCAACAACTCTTCTGAATAACCAAGACGCCTAGGATAATGATATTTTGCCAATAACATGCTGGGATAAAGGGCTACCAAGTTTGTTCAAACGAATGACCTTGACATATATTCAAGTTCACAGGGGTGAAATATGTTTGAAACCTTTAAACAACTTCTTCTGAATAACCAAGAGGCCTAGGATAATGATATTTGGTCAGTAATTTGCTGGGATGAAGGGCTACCAAGTTTGCTTATAATCAAGGTCACAGGGATCAACTTTCTTTGAAACATTTAAACAACTTCTGAATAACTAAGAGGCCTAGGGTGATGATATTTGGCCAGTAACTTGCTGGGATGAAGGGCTACCAGGTTTGTTCAAATGAATGACCTTGACATATATATAAGGTCACAGGGGTCAAATATGCTTAAAACCTTAAACGACTTAATCAAAAGGCCAAGGGTGATGATATTTTGCCAGAAGCATGCTGGGTTGGAAGACTATAAACTCTGTTCAACCTAATGTCTTTGTTCAACCTTCAAGGTCACAGGCATCATATGTATAAATCTTTTAATAGGTTCTTATGAATCAAACAGATATTCTGCCTGTAGCTGTATTTTAGTCCACTTTTTAGATTACAAGTGTGAGATTAATACCAGGTGAGTGATTCAGGCACATTGGGGCTCTTGTCTTTCTCAAACTTTGCCGGGCTCCTACCAACAATGCTTTCAGCCAAATATCATGACGCTAGGCCTGTCCATTCTTTAGAAGTAGTTGTTTGAAGGAAATGTTGATGGACGACGATGACGGTTACCTTGAGTATGGGCAAGGTCATTCATTTGAACAAACTTAGTTGCCCTTCATCTCAGCATGCTGCGGACCAAATATAACCCTAGGCCTCTTGGTTCTTGAGAAGAAGTTTTTTATAGTAAAAAATTGACGAGAGACCGACAGACGGACGACGCACCACGGCATAAGCTCACTTTGCCCTTTGGTCCAGGTGAGCTAAAAATCTACTTCAGACCTAGATGTATTACAATCCAACTCTATAGTTGGCTTTAAGTCCTAAGAAGTTTTAATTAAATTGCAGGTGCAAAGTTATATATATTTTCTATTGCAGTAAGTATTTCTGCAGAATATTTCCATAAAAAGGGGCAATTAAGATTGTTTTTGATTTTGTTACAGGGTTTAATGGAAATGCAAATGAAGACGAATACTGCTGTATTTGATCATCTACAATTAAAAAGGATCACCAACAGATTAAATGAAATGCTGCAGGAAAGATTGATAGTAATGCACACCATCCTGCCGTACATACCACTGCGTAAGTTTAGTACTGTGGTGTAAACCTACATGGCTAGTAGTAGTGTTTTCTCACAATAAGCATTTTTTACTGCTGAATGTTTGTCCCTCTGTATTTTTTAGCTCACCTTGAGAGAAGTGCCCCAAGATATATCCTTATCCAATGGCATGACTCTGTTTTGTTGTGGAATTTTTAACAAGAACTGAACTGGCACATTGTTATCCCACCATCATCAGATGGTTGGCTATTCAAATCACCATTATTCCATGGTCTATGGTCCATCCGTTCCTGTTAGTGCTATTTCTCACAAAATGTTGTAGGAATCATTCTCAAATTTCACATCAATGTTTCCCATGGTCCAAAGTTACTCATAACTTATTCTAGGACTGATTGGATGACCAAAATTGACAGGCGGACATCTAGAATTTTGAGAGTTAAAGTTTGTTAGGCCTATTCTCCAAAAGCGCTGAAGGGATCCCTCTCAAATTTTCCCATGGTGCCTAGTTAGGCATATCAAATTTTGGGACTGATGGGAAACACAAGACAGATGACAGGCAGCCATCTTCAGCTGGTGGGCCATTCAAATCACCCTTTCTTTATGATCCGTCTTACTGTCCATCCTTAAACGATTCTTGTTAGCACTTTTTTTACCTCGCCAATTTGAAGAATAGGGGGGCTAATGTAGTCGCCCCGGCGTCAGTGTCCCACTTCACTGAGGTTAAAGTTCTTTTGTGCAGTGTTGGATCACCACCATCAATAGGCTGTTGACTATTATAAGGCTGAAGTATTTATACGGAGTGTCAATGTGTGAGCAATGTTTTGAAACATATTTCCATATTTTAGGGGCCGAAAACAGCTTAATTTGACGTTGTAAAAGATTTTGGGCAAGTTTTTTTTGTGCAGTATTGGATCACCGACATCAATACACTATGGACTATTTCACGTTGTCTGCTCATCTCTTCTTTAAAAATGTACAACATGTTCAGGTACAGCAAAACCTTGTTACACTGCCACCATTTGTCTAAAGAAATGTTGGCATTATAAAGGGGTTTGGCAGTGAATTGAGGAAAAGTTAAAAGGAATTCTGAAGAAAATCAGAATTAACGGACCTTGAAATATGTTGGCGGTAAGCAAGGTGGCGAACGAAATGACAGGCATTTTATCGAGGTTTTTATTGTACATGTGTTTCTATTGATATTTGCTATCTTAAAATAGCATATATCACCAATAGGAGAGCAAAGCCTTTTTTCTAACAGCTCTTGTCCAGAAATGATTCATTGGATCTTTCTCAAATTTCACATTAGTGTTCCCCATGGTCCCAAGTCAGGGACTGATCAGAAATCCAAGATGGCCAACACTTAGCCATTTTGAGTTTTGAGAGTTAAAGATTGTTGGTGCTATTTCTAGTATGAAGCTTTGATCAAAAGTTACCACTGGGTAAATATGAAATGATTCGATCCAACAGGTAAAAGTCTCAAATTTCATATGAAGGTTTCCCTTGGTTTGTAGTTGTGCATGTTTGAACATTCATTTTGGGTCTAATCAGAAAAACAAAATGGCCACCAGGTAGCATCTTGGATTTTAAGACTTTAACCTTGTTAACACAGTTTCTCAAGAATTATCTGACAGATCTTTCTCATATTTCATGTGAAAGTTTCCCTTGGTCTGAAGTCGTTTTCATTTTGGGGCTGGTTGGAAGAATAAAATGGCCACCAGGTAGCATCTTCGATTTTGAGATTTCAAGTTTGTTACCACTTTTTCTCAAGAAATTGATAATGAACAATCACCTCACTTCAAAAGGACACGGTCAAACCCAGATTTATACAAATTTTGAAAAAAAAAATACCACAAAATATATTTACTGTTGGCAAGACTTATAATCAACCCAACAGATAAGAGAAAAGAAGAGAAATGAAGGAAAAAGATAAAACTGACATAGAACTAATAATGATCTTCTGATGGTGGGTCTCTTGTCGATATCTTACCAAGAACCTGAATGACAAGTAAATGTTTGTTCAAACTGATTCTCTCCTTGACCAAGATATGTGCTTGATTGAACTCCAAGAGCATAACATCTATTGATAATTAAATTTTCTGGAATCCCAATTTATAACATTTCTATTGAATAGATTGTATAAGGTTCTTTTCTGAAAGAGAAATATTCCTTTTACAATTTCAGTCGCAGAAATTCGTCTGGATGAAAATAACAGACCTGTATCCTTTAAGCCAACAACATATGAAGGTCTGTTAGAAGAAATGAAAAACAAGAAGTTGATGTTGAGAAAAGGTAGACGAATGTAAGTTTAATACAGAGTATTCATACAACTTATTGTACAGGAAGATTAGAGTGATACAATCATTTAACAAATTATATAGGTAGATGAAATGACCATTGATAGGCCTAGAAGTGCTTGGGTTACAGTGCTAGAGCCCTACAATCAATTTCAAAGTACTACTTTGTTCGCCAATCAGCATGCGACAATACGCTGTTCAAACTATTGAACGAAATTGTGTGGACTCACTGTCGATAAGGCGGGCATTTTTAATTTTAAATATAAATTATAAGTTAAAAAAGAACATAAGAGGCAGAGAAAACTCTTCAAAATCCTTCTTAGTCTGTACAATTGGAGGGGTTTTATCCAAATTGGAGACTTTTTTTTTTAATTGAGGGTGTGGCCCCCTCTGGGTGGGTGCTGATGGATATACAGCCCAATAGGGGAATTTGAGGTTTAAACATTTAAAATCTTTCTTCTTCTTTACCATTGGAGTTAATTTAACCAAATTTGGTCTGGAGCATGCTTTGGTAAAGGGGACCAACTTTTGTATGAACGGAGAGTGTTGCCCCTCTGGGTGCAGAGAGATGGGGCCCGAAAGGGGAATTTGAGGTTTAAATCTTCAAAATCCTTCTCCTTCAGTATGATAGGAAATTTGGCCCAGAGCTTCATTATGCAAGGGGGACTCAATTTGTTTTAATAGCATGTAGTAACCCTGGGAGCAAAGGGGAAGGGTCCAGTAGGGGGAACTTCATTATAATTTTTTCAAATCCTTTTCCTTCAGTAGAGGGCTGCTTTTAGGGGGCAGAGGGGTGGGCCCAATATGGAAAATTGAGGTAAATTCACCACTTCATGGGGGCAGAAAGAAGGGACCTAATGAGGGACGGTTGTTACTGAGATACAGAGCCAATATTTGGAAATAGTTGCAGTATTATACTTAATAAGAAAAAAATCCCATGGTTCATTATTATCCAGGTGAACGATATAGGCCCCCTGGGCCTCTTGTCTTCTTCAGGCTCAGATTTGCTGGAATCAAGTACTCTTCATGGATGGAAAGATAATTAGATTGTGAATAAAAACTGAATTTCCTCTAAGGGAAGTGGGTAAAATGTACTGTAGTTAATGTAGGGAAATGAGACTTTAGTGCATATGTTTATTTCCAGTGGAAAGAAATTCAACCTTCTTAATGGTTTAAAACACATAATATTCAGTATCTGTAATTGGATTGACAAATTATTGCGCAGCTTTCTTTCCATGATGTCCTACTTGCCAACTTTTTGAAATTTCCATGGGGAGATTCTGCATGCTCAAAATTAAAACATTAATAAAATGTGTGCCCCTAGGGTCAAAATAAACCTTTAACCCTTTAAGTTTACCTATTTTGAGTTGTTCTATTAGATCTTAGAATAAAGGTATAATTTAGAAATCATTGGACTAAAACTACCAAATTTAAGGGTCCAAAATTGGGAGTCTCCCTCCTAGATACGGAGAGTTGGCAAGTGTGCGATGATGCTGTATGAAATCGAAAACAAAACAAAATGAAATCCAGAGTTTTTGAGTTCTAGGCACTACCAAAACATTGATTACATCATTAGAATGAATAAAATCCTTAAATACATACAATAATTGCAAAAAACAATGTAATCGGCAAGTCCAACCAGCATCCAATAAACACCATTTTGCAGTGAAAACATTGATTTATTGATTGATTTGATTAATGTATTGCCATCAACAGGCCACTAAAAATAAAAGTAAGAAAAAACCTATATGGATGTTGAATGAGAGAAAGGGGGAATACATTCTGTATTTCTAACTACAAATCATGTTTATTTCAGTGTGCTTCTGCTTTCGAACAAGGGGAATTACATGCTCAGCGCAGGGGACATCACAAATAGCGACCTAGGCCGACCTACTGGCATGAACCTTCTCGCCAAGAGACATCTACAAAAGCTTGGATATGAATGTTTTATGGTAACATTTTCTTCGACTTAATTTCAGTGACATTTAGATTTGGAAAAATAAACTTGCATAAAGGGTTTATAGCTAGGCTCCATTGGCATGGAGTCTATTATAACAAAGTTTTCATAAAATTGATTTTTTTTAAAAATAAATGCAATTAATGCCAAACCACTGACTTGCATTGGTATACCAGTTTTTTTTGCACGAGAAAGTTATGGTATGTATGAAAGTTTTATAAATATCTGAGAAAAACTTCTCCAGATTAGGGCTCAGAGAAGAATGGATCGAGATTTATTTTCTGATTAGGGCTCAAATTTAAACATTGGTAAAACAATATAATGGCATATTGCTTTAAAAACTTTTGTCTGAAGTTCAATAAAGAGTTTAAAGAAATGCCACCTTATTACAACAATCCTTCATTTCAGATATATAACGAGTTAATACCTTATGATGCAATGCCCAAATATGTATTGAAACAATTGGTGTTTGAGTTTGGAGTGGAGCTGGATACAGAAACTATTAGAAGGTACAGAATCTATCAAGATCTAAGGACAAAAGCAACGGAAAAGGGATGAAGACCCACTTGGGAGTGTGTAATGTTTATGATACAGATCCACTTAATGGGGGTGGACAGTGTACAAAGATATAAATATACTCATGGGAGTGGACCATGCATCAGATATACACTTCATGGGAGTGGACAGTGTACAAAGATATAAATACACTCATGGTGGTGAACCATGCATCAGATATACACTTCATGGGAGTGGACAGTGTACAAAGATATAAATACACTCATGGTGGTGAACCATGCATCAGATATACACTTCATGGGAGTGGACAGTGTACAAAGATATAAATACACTCATGGTGGTGAACCATGCATCAGATATACACTTCATGGGAGTGGACAGTGTACAAAGATATAAATACACTCATGGTGGTGAACCATGCATCAGATATACACTTCATGGGAGTGGACAGTGTACAAAGATATAAATACACTCATGGTGGTGAACCATGCATCAGATATACACTTCATGGGAGTGGACAGTGTACAAAGATATAAATACACTCATGGTGGTGAACCATGCATCAGATATACACTTCATGGGAGTGGACAGTGTACAAAGATATAAATACACTCATGGTGGTGAACCATGCATCAGATATACACTTCATGGGAGTGGACAGTGTACAAAGATATAAATACACTCATGGTGGTGAACCATGCATCAGATATACACTTCATGGGAGTGGACAGTGTACAAAGATATAAATACACTCATGGTGGTGAACCATGCATCAGATATACACTTCATGGGAGTGGACAGTGTACAAAGATATAAATACACTCATGGTGGTGAACCATGCATCAGATATACACTTCATGGGAGTGGACAGTGTACAAAGATATAAATACACTCATGGTGGTGAACCATGCATCAGATATACACTTCATGGGAGTGGACAGTGTACAAAGATATAAATACACTCATGGTGGTGAACCATGCATCAGATATACACTTCATGGGAGTGGACAGTGTACAAAGATATAAATACACTCATGGTGGTGAACCATGCATCAGATATACACTTCATGGGAGTGGACAGTGTACAAAGATATAAATACACTCATGGTGGTGAACCATGCATCAGATATACACTTCATGGGAGTGGACAGTGTACAAAGATATAAATACACTCATGGTGGTGAACCATGCATCAGATATACACTTCATGGGAGTGGACAGTGTACAAAGATATAAATACACTCATGGTGGTGAACCATGCATCAGATATACACTTCATGGGAGTGGACAGTGTACAAAGATATAAATACACCCATGGTGGTGAACCATGTGGAAAATATTATGGATAGTGTATGGGGTACACACTTCAAGAAAGTAGATATTCAAGGAAGTGGTAAGTGTATGAGATAGCAATTCATGGAAGTTGATAGTGTATTGGGTATGCACATCATGAATGTGGATAGTGTAGGTGGTTACACACATAATGAATGTGGATAGTGGAGGGGGTATACACTTCATGAATGTGGATAGTGTAGGTGGTTACACACATAATGAATGTGGATAGTGTAGGTGGTATACACATCATGAATGTGGACAGTGTAGGTGGTATACACATGAATGTGGATAGTGTAGGCGGAATACACATCATGATTGTGGACAGTGTAGGTGGGATACACATGAATGTGGATAGTGCAGATGGTATTCACTTCATGAATGTGGATAGTGGAGGTGGTATACACATCATGAATGTGGACAGGGTAGGTGGTATACACATGAATGTGGATGGTGTAGGTGGTATACACATCATGATTGTGGACAGTGCAGGGGGTATACACTTGAATGTGGATAGTGTAGGGGGTCTACACATCATGAATTTGGACAGTCTAGGGGGTATACACATGAATGTGGATAGTGTAGGTGGTATACACATCATGATTGTGGACAGTGCAGGTGGTATACACTTGAATGTGGATAGTGTAGGTGGTCTACACATCATGAATTTGGACAGTCTAGGTGGTATACACATGAATGTGGATAGTGCAGATGGTATTCACTTCATGAATGTGGATAGTGTAGGTGGTATACACATCATGATTGTGGATAGTGTAGGTGGTATACACATCATGATTGTGGATAGTGTAGGTGGTATACACACCATGATTGTGGATAGTGAATGTGGTATACACATCATGATTCTGGATAGTGTAGGTGGTATACACACCATGATTGTGGATAGTGTAGGTGGTATACACATGAATGTGGATAGTGTAGTTGGTATACACACCATGATTGTGGACAGTGTAGTTGGTATACAAACGAAATATACCCACAGAAGGTGGTATAGGGTCTCGTGTTTCTTTGGGATCGAAGACTTTGTTTAAGGAGGGAGGAATGTAGCGGAACTGGACTGGGTCGATCATTGGCAACCAGATAGCTCAATTGGTAAAGCATCCATCTAGAGTTAGAGGGTCCCGGGTTTTGAACCCTGGTCTGGCCGTGCATTTTTCCTCTTCTGTTACACACTGCATGAAAGTGGTTAATGTATGGGGTACAACATTCAGGAAAGAGGACAGTGTATGGGGGTATGTACTTCATGAGCCTATACACTTCATGGGAGTGGACAATGTATGAAGTGTAAGACCTATACACTTCATGGGAGTGGACAATGTAAGAAATGTAAGACCTATACACTAGTGTACAAAGATATAAATACGCACATGGTGGTGAACCATGCATCAGATATACAGTTCATGGGAGTGAACAGTGTACAAAGATGTAAATACACCCATGGTGGTGAACCATGCATCAGATATACACTTCATGGGGGTGGACAATGTATGACATGTAAGACCTATACAAGTGCAGATGGTATTCGCTTCATGAATGTGGATAGCGTAGGTGGTATACACACCATGATTGTGGACAGTGTAGTTGGTATACACACCATGATTGTGGACAGTGTAGTTGGTATACCCACCATGATTGTGGACAGTGGAGGAGGTATACACATGAATGTGGATAGAGTAGGTGGTATACACTTGAATGTGGATAGTGCAGATGGTATTCACTTCATGAATGTGGATAGCGTAGGTGGTATACACCTCATGAATGTGGATAGCGCAGGTGGTATACACTTGAATGTGGATAGTGTAGTTGGTATACACACCATGATTGTGGACAGTGGAGGAGGTATACACATGAATGAGGATAGTGCAGATGGTATTCGCTTCATGAATGTGGATAGCGTAGGTGGTATACACATGAATGTGGATAGTGTAGGTGGCATACACATGAATGTGGATAGTGTAGTTGGTATACCCACCATGATTGTGGACAGTGTAGGTGGCATACACATGAATGTGGATAGTGCAGATGGGATTCACTTCATGAATGTGGATAGTGTAGGTTGTATACACACCATGATTGTGGACAGTGTAGGTGGCATACACATGAATGTGGCTAGTGCCGATGGTATTCACTTCATGAATGTGGATAGCGTAGGTGGTATACACCTCATGAATGTGGATAGAGTAGGTGGTTACACACATAATGAATGTGGATAGTGTAGTTGGTATACCCACCATGATTGTGGACAGTGCAGGTGGTATACACTTGTATGTGGATAGTGTAGTTGGTATACACACCATGATTGTGGACAGTGGAGGAGGTATACACATGAATGAGGATAGTGCAGATGGGATTCACTTCATGAATGTGGATAGCGCAGGTGGTATACACATGAATGAGGATAGTGCAGATGGGATTCACTTCATGAATGTGGATAGAGTAGGTGGTTACACACATAATGAATGTGGATAGTGCAGATGGTATTCACTTCATGAATGTGGATAGTGCAGATGGTATTCGCTTCATGAATGTGGATAGAGTAGGTGGTATACACCTCATGAATGTGGATAGAGTAGGTGGTTACACACATAATGAATGTGGATAGTGCAGATGGTATTCACTTCATGAATGTGGATAGCGCAGGTGGTATACACTTCATGAAGATATAAATACACTCATGGGAGTGGACAATGTATGAGATATCATTTCAAGGAAGAGGACAATGTAGGGGGTATACACTCTCAAGGAGTGGGGAGAGTACAATGAACAAGATATACACATCATAGGAGTACACAGTGTATGAAATACAAGAGGCCCAAAGGGCCAGTATTGCTCACCTGGATATCTTAGCAATCATGACAAAATATTCCCCAAGGGAATATGCCAGACCCCAAGGCCAATCCTTGTAGCATATCTTTATTAGATTTTTCATGCCCACCAATTCAATGCATGATTATGGGGTGGGGATCTCAACTGTTTCCAAACTATGACTCAGAAACTAGGTCCCTAGGGTTGTGGCCAGACCCCAGGATCAATTCTTATGGCCAGTATATGTATTAATAGTTTTGGGGTGGGGATCTCTACCGTTTAAAAGTTATGACCCAGGGGTTAAGTCTCCAGGGTGGGGCAGACCCCAAAGCCATCCTGGAAGCATATGTGCATTCATCTCTTTATACTTAGCAATTGTATATATGGTTATAGGTTGGGGATCTCAATCGTTTCCAAGCTGTGACTAAGAAACTAGGTCCCTAGGGGTTCGGTCAGACCCAAGGGTCTATTCTAACATCATGACTGCATTGTCTCTTTATGCCCAGCATTTGTATATATAGTTCTGGGGTGGGGATGTCAACCGTTTAAAAGTTATGACTGAGGGACCATTTCCAAGTAATAAACTCTTTTTGGCCTCACCCCGGGGGGTCAGCTCCACCATTTGTACAATTTTGAATACCTGTCTCCCATGAATGCTTCCGACCAGATATGATCAATATCAATGGCATAGATCTACAGAAGAAGTTGTTTATAGCAATATAGCCAAATGGCCCCCTTTTGGCCCCACCCCTTAGCCCCCTGGGGTGTCAGCCCCACCATTTGTACAATTTTAAATCCCCACAACCTAGGGATGCTTCCAGTCAAATATGGTTGATATCCATCTCTTAGAAGTCGCTTAAGGTCATAGGAGTGTATTGCTTAACGGAAATAGGAAGTACATCCCTAGTTGAAAATCCAATGTAGGGAGACAGTATCACAATTTCCGCATATGCTAATGTTTAATTTTAAAATGATGAATATTGTATGTTTATTATACACAGAACAGTGTGTTCTTTCAATATTAAAGTATTTCAAAGTAATCCAGGCATTAATTCAGTTGTTTTTTAATCAATGAGTCGCATGTGTCCATTGTCCTGTACCTCAGGAAACCGGCTACCTATTTCACTACTGTGAACTTTTTCATGAACGATAACTCTTCCATGCAATTACTATGTGTATATGGTTTTATTATAAAATGTCAATTTTTAATCGTTTATAGATAAGTAATTATAGACAATTTCAGCATTTATGAAATTGATATACATTAATGCAATACTGATCTATGTCAGTAACCTTTTTTATCGACATTTCTTTGCAAAACATTGTGTTTCATTTTTTTTTTCAAAATTCACTCCTTTTAACATGAATTTCCATTTAAAATCCTCAAATTTCTGACAACCTATATTTTATTTGTGGCAGAAAATTTTCTTTACTTCAAAGCAATATAACTACAAAATTTGAAGAAATTCTACTGAGAAATGGCGATACAATCCTATTACCTTAAAGCAATATAGCCAAATAACCCTTTTTGGCCCTGCCCCTCAGCCCCCTGGGGGGGGGGGGTCAACTACACCATTTGTACAATTTTGAATCCCTGCCTTCCATGAATGCTTTTGATAAAATAGGATTGATATCCAGTGCATAGTTCTACAGAAGAAGTCTTTTGTAGCAATATAGCCAATTTGCCCCCTTTTGGCCCTGCCCTTCAGCCCCTTGGGGGGTCAGCCCCACCATTTGTACAATTTTGAATCCCCACCACCTAGGGATGCTTCCAGTCAAATTTAGCTAAATTCCAATCAGTGGTTAAGAAGAAGTCGTTAAAAAGAAATTGTTGACGTACGGACAGACGACGGATGCCACAGTATGGCATAAGCTCACCTTGGTCCTTCAGAACAGGTGAGCTAATAATTACACTTTATTGAGTGGACATTGCAAGTCAATCTGTCCGTCTGTCTGTCCTTAAATGAAAAAAATGTTAGTCTTGTTTTTAGAAAGTACCAAAGGAATCTTTTTCAAATTACGAAGGTTCCCCATGGTCCAAGTTATGCATATCAAATTTTGAGACTGATCAGAAAACCAAGATGGCTGATAGGCAGTCGCCTTGAATTTTGAGAGGTTTAGTTAAGCTTCATTTCTCAAAATGTTGCTCGAGATCTTTTTCAAATTTTACATTAACGTTCCTAATTAAGCATATGTGGACTGATCAGAAATCCTAGATGACCAACAGGTGACAATCTTGATTTTTCAGTGTTAAAAGATTACACTTTTTCTCGGATGGACTGGAGGAATCTTTCTCAAATTTAGCCCACAACGGTTCCCAATTGTCCCTAGTTAGACATATCAAATTTTTGGACCGATTTGAAAAACCAAGATGGCCAAAAGGCGACTTGATTTTTGCGAAGCAAAGACTGTTAGTGCTATTTCTCAGAAAGTACTGGAATTTCACTTAAAGATTCCCAGTTGTCTCATACTAAAGCTAAGGTGACCTAAAACTAATTCTGAATAACCAGGAGGCCGAGTGAGTGTGATGATATTTAATCAGTAGCAGGCTGGGATAGAGTAGTATAAAGTTTAATTTAGCCTGGAACATTCTTAAGCCAATGAGACTAGATATATAAAAATATGTGTGTAATAGCAAAATTACTTTTATTGAGAACATTTCCGCATGATGCTCAAATATCCAGGTGAGCAATACAGGTCCTCAGGGCCTCTTATTGGGAGTCCCTAATCTGTTAACAATGTTCAGAGTCCATAGGTGGAATTCTATACTCTGTAAGCCAGGTTAGGTCTAGTGTCTTTGGGTCGGATTCTCTAACCAAGGCTTAGGTATCTTATCTGTAGTTGGGTGTCCCTCACCCATACATCGGGTCAAGTGTACTTGGTTGAAATTCTTTACTTATAAGTCAGGTTCAGTGCCGTAAGTTCAGATTCTCACACCTATAATTTAGAGTCCGGTTCAATGTCTTCAGTTGGGATTCTCTTAACTGGAAGCCAGCTACAGTATTCTAATCGCGGATTTTCTAACCAATAAATCAGATTATATTGTCTGTAGTTGGGAGTCTCTCATTCCTATTCCAGGTTAAGTATCCTATTTTGGGATTCCGTAACCTTTCAGCCAGGTTCAGTGTCTCTAGTATGGATTCTTTAACCTATGAATTAGGTACGTTGGTTATAGTTAGGATTCTCTAATCCGTGAATGTGATCCAGTGTTCTTCGTTCGGATTCACAAACCTGTAATTAAGCCAGGTTTGATCCTGTATACATAGTGGAGATTCTGTAACATGCTAGCTAGGATTCCCTAATCTGTAAGTCTGGTCCTGTGTCCTTTATTGGTATTTTCCAACCTGTAAGCCAGGTTAAGGTCAGTAAGTACTCTTAGTTGAGATTCAGTAACATATTAGTTGGTCAAGTATCCTTATTGGGATTCCGTAACATGTTAGCTATGTCAAGTATCCTTAGCCTAGATTCTTTAACATGTTAGCTTGGTCCAGTATCCTTAGTACAGATTCAGTAACATGTTAGCTAGGTCAAATGTAAGCTAGGTCCAGTCTCCTTAGCCGAGATTCTGTAACATGTTAGCTAGGTCCAGTATTCTTAGTCAGATATCCTTAACATGTTAGCTAGGTCCAGTATTCTTAGCCGAGATTCTGTAACATGTTAGCTAGGTCCAGCATTTTTAGCCTAGATTCTGTAACATGTAAGCTAGGTCCAGTATTCTTAGTCAGATATTTTTAACATGTTAGCTAGGTCCAGTATCCTTAGCCGAGATTCTGTAACATGTTAGCTAGGTCCAGTATCCTTAGCAGAGATTCTGTAACATGTTAGCTTGGTCCAGTCTCCTTAGCCGAGATTCTGTTACAGGTTAGCTTGGTCCAGTATCCTTAGCAGAGATTCTGTAACAGGTTAGCTAGGTCCAGTATCCTTAGCAGAGATTCTGTAACAGGTTAGCTTGGTCCAGTATCCTTAGCAGAGATTCTGTTACAGGTTAGCTAGGTCCAGTATCCTTAGCAGAGATTCTGCAACAGGTTAGCTTGGTCCAGTATCCTTAGCAGAGATTCTGTAACAGGTTAGCTTGGTCCAGTATCCTTAGCAGAGATTCCGTAACATGTTAGCTTGGTCCAGTCTCCTTAGTCGGAATGCTCTAACTTGTAGCCAGGCTCCATCATTGGATTCCTTAACCAATTAGCCTAGTTGAGTGTCTATTGTTTTGGATTCCTCAAGTTTTAGGCAAAGTCCAGACGGATGATTTTGTACATGGTTGTACTTTTCCCACATCTTTTATCTTTCAATACAGTGTAAATCGCTCTCCCAAATCATAGCTTGTCAGGGAGAAAACGATTCAAATTCCCAAACAGTGACAGCATGTGTTGTTCAATGGTTTGCTGAGCTGAAACATTGAAAGAAAACATAAATAAGTAATGTGATATCAAAGTAGAAGTCTACCACATCTGTTATGTCACTATGTAATGACTCTTTGTTGGTTAATAACCATGTATTACTATGTAATGACTCTTTGTTGGTTAATAACCAACAAAGAGTCATTACATAGTAATACATAGTTATTAACCAACAAAGAGTCGTTACATAGTAATTCATGGTTATTAACCAACAAAGAGTCATTACATAGTGACATAACAGATGTAATGACTCTTTGTTGGTTAATAACCATGTATGACTATGTAATGACTCTTTGTTGGGTTAATAACCATGTATTACTATGTAATTACTCTTTGTTGGTTACTAACCATGTATTACTATGTAACGACTCTTTGTTGGTTAATAACCATGTATTACTATGTAATGACTCTTTGTTGGTTTCAAATAACCATGTATTACTATGTAATGACTCTTTGTTGGTTAATAACCAACAAAGAGTCATTACATAGTAATACATGGTTAGTAACCAACAAAGAGTCTTTACATAGTAATACATGGTTATTAACCAACAAAGAGACATTAAATAGTAATACATGGTTATTAACCAACAAAGAATCATTACTATGTAATGATTCTTTGTTGGTTAATAACCATGTATTACTGTGTAATGTCTCTTTGTTGGTTAATAACCATGTATTACATAGTAATACATGGTTATTTGAAACCAACAAAGAGTCATTACATAGTAATACATGGTTATTAACCAACAAAGAATCATTACATAGTAATGATTCTTTGTTGGTTAATAACCATGTATTACTATGTAATGTCTCTTTGTTGGTTAATAACCATGTATTACTATGTAATGATTCTTTGTTGGTTAATAACCATGTATTACTATGTAATGTCTCTTTGTTGGTTAATAACCATGTATTACTATGTAATGTCTCTTTGTTGGTTAATAACCATGTAATATTGTCAAATGCATGTAAAACCATGCATTTATAGTTGATGCTTTTGATTGATTTAAATAAACATTTTGTATAAAGTCAAGTGTTACTTCGGTGTTTGTTGTTTATTACTGTTTGCCAAAATTCAGAAACCAAATTGTGACCGTTCATGAAGCTTATGGAGTTTTCACACCAAAAAAGATAAAAGTCTTTTATCAAAGTGAGTTGTGCCAAGATGTCGACTTTTATGCCATACAAAAACTTTGCTCATCTTGCTCAGGGTAAAAGCATGCTCAGGCAGCTGGCATGATAATCTTCTTTTTAATTGATTGTAATCATTTCTGGTGAATTTACGATGAATCAAAAACTTTCATCTCATAAAAAAAATAATACAACATAATCTAATAGGAGGGACAGGATATTTAAGAAAGCTTTTCTTTCATTTTGCCATGTACCATACTTTGGGATAATTTCATGCTACCGAAAGGCATGTTTTTGCTCAAAATGGGGTGGTTCAAAATAATGATGTCAAGTTTTGGGTTTAACAATCCTGTGTGCTAAATTTTGGTGCTTTATCTTTCATATGTCCATTGCGTTAGATCTACATTTATAATAGTTGTGTGGTTAAATGACTGGATTCAGTCATCCATGTAATGGTTCCTGTTTTCAAATTCCATAAAAATATCCAATCTTGTGTACTACGTCTCACCCGGTTGCACAGGAGAACGTGTTTGTAAGATCAAGCACCGCTTTACTTATAGCGATGTGTCTTACCTGTATACACTTGAATACAACAAATATGAAAACATCCAAGGATTAACCTTTACCGACATGCTATTTATTGAGTGTGTTACTCCTGCCTGAAAAAATTAGCAATTCCAACTTTCACATTAATGAGAATCTCGTACATGAGAAATATAGCTCAAGGAAGCTAGATATTGATGCATAAATAATGAGTAACAGTTTGAAGATGGTCTGCCGAAATTTTGGCTCATCCACTCCAAACCCCAAATAAACCGTAAGATAACCACAACCAAAATATCCCAAAGAACAGTACCTCCCAGGGGTTAAGCACACCCAACATTGAGTCCCCTTAGCCCCAAGGATGCTCTAGATCATTTCAACAAAATTAACAGAAGTTAATCTATTTCGTAGGAGGATTTTAAAGATTTACCTGTATTTCTCTTAAGGGGTCTTGCCCCTCGGCCGCAAGGAGGCCACACACCGTGTTTAACCCTTGTCCAACGATACTCCAGATCAAATTTGGTTATTTTTTTTTATCTCTTTCTAGCCAATATTAACATGAATAATAAAATCTATTATAATTACTGGTTTAGAATTTCAGGAGAAATTTTCGGAACTTCTCTCCAACTTCTATGTGGTGAACTTACAGAAATTGGCCAGGTGAGCGAAAACAAAACTATTGGACACAACTATTTTAATTGAACATGCTTGTTTGACAAATGTCAGAAATAAATTATATTTGCAACTATAGATTTGCCAGTCTGTTTTGTGACCTTGGTGACCTACACTTTCTATGTTTATCTTAAGATACCTACCTGCTTTGTGACCTTGACCCACTGCTAAATCCATGGAAGTGAGCTGATCTTCATTTGTGTGCGTTATGTCAGCTCCATACTCCAGAAGGGCCTGTATACAGCCCGTATGATTCCTGTAGCATGCGTACATCAGTCCAGTGCTCCCCGACTATAACAAAACCACAACAACAGTGCAACTACATAGTCGGTCATTCTCGCAATGACATTTTCAAGGATCAACAATATTCATGTCGGAGTTGGATGGTTGGTTGTTTCAGGTTTGATATATTTGCAACAGCTAAGATCATTCGAAGATCTAGTGTCCATTGATGTCCAAAGACGAATTTTCACAAATGCAACTTACTTTCATTAATCTACTCAACATATTAAAGCAGGTCTCTCACCTCGTCGCTGTAGTTGACATCAAGGCCTAGACTGAGGAGGTAGTAGACAATATCAGTGTATCCCCCCGCACTTGCCAACAGCAGTGCATTTTCCCCATGTTTCCCCGACACATTGACGTCTGCACCTTTCTCCACCAGGAACTCTGTTGTGGCCTGCTGACCATTAGCACTTGCCCACAGTAAGGCTGTCATACCTGCACTATCAGGTTTGTTGATGTCTGCCCCTGTGGAAAGCATAAAGATACAGCTGTTCAACCACACAAAATGAGGCATTATAGGCTTGGATCATGTGCATCTTTGACAAAGGAAAGCCTGTGATTATGTGCCTGTTTGACCTCACAAAGTGCAGGCAAAGTCATGTGCCTGTTTGACCTCGCGAAATAAAGGCGGGGTCATTTAACTGTTTGACATCACAAAAAAAAAATGCAGGGGTCATGTGCCTGTTTGACCTAACAAAGTCGGGCAGGGGTCATGTCCTTGTTTGACCTTACCAAATAAAGGATGGACACATATGCCTGTTTGACCTCAAAAGTAAATTTTGACGCTTGCCTGTTTGACCTCACAAAGTCGGGTCAGGTCATGTTCCTGTTTGATCTCACAAAGTAAAGGCAGGGGTCATGTGCATGTTTGACCTCACAAAGTCAGGAAAGGTCATTTACCTGTTTGACCTCACAAAGTCACATAAGTTTATATTCCTGTGTGACCTCACAAAGTCAGGTAAAATCATTTACCTGTATAATATCACAAAGTACAGACTGGGACCTCTTATTTTTAACAGCTTGGAAACAAGACAATTTCAGAAATCGGTTTTTTACATAATTTATCTCAGAAACTAAACTTTACAGACTATATTGAATTCACTACAGGGATAAAAATTACCTTCCAAGATTTCCTGCTGTAAAAGCACTAATTCACCCTGGGCTGCCATCTGATGAATTGTCAAGTCTGCAAATATGTATATATAAACTATGGAAATCCATTTTCAGAAAATTCATTTCACATACAATACATCTGCATATTAAGCTGGGAGTTTTCATTTACCTTACAATCAATAACAAATATTATTTCATCGTAATTTCTGATTGCCCGAGGAGAGGTTACACACATATATATTTACCATTCACTCACTGTAAAGTGTACACACTCGCCACTCAAGAGTAACAGATGTGGCTATTAATATGTCAATCTTTTCTTTGACAGACCAAAATAAATTCTAACAACATACCTAAACAAAACTGTTACATTTTTCAAAATTTTTGATGCACGTGTAGTTTTGGAAGGGGGTCCACAAATTACTTGGTAGACTTGTCTAAACAGCTGATACTACAGATTTCCTTGAAGTTTTATTCATTGAAACTGCCATCCTCAATATCCTGAAGTTCCGCTCACTTACGCTCCCTGCACCCCTGGAATATGTCATAGCAAAATCGAAAGCTCAATGTGCAGCACCTTGTGGATGAGACGAGAAGACTAGTTCAGTCCTTTGATGAACATCAAAAGAATCTCGCAGTCGCATAACGGTAAATATTACAGGCTTTGAAGTCGGGCGTCGCTCCTTTGTAATCTTCAAAGGACAAGTATCAGCCTAGTGATTGGTCAGTTTTTTTTTTACCCGACACCAATCATATAGCTAGCTGCGTGCCTTCAATTTTGCTTTGACATATTCCTGGGGTGCAGAGAGCTAAGTGAGTGTAACCCCTGGATATCGAGGATGATCTCAAACGAACAACTTACTCTTCAGTATCAAAGGCGTAGTGGTCTGAACGTTACCACGTTGAAGGTTTGTCATCACAGTTGTTGGCTAAAACAAATTGAACAGACTGAAGATTTTTCTTCCAATTCTTAAATATTTCACTGATGAAACAGTGTCTGTACAAATAAAATTGCTATAATGCATCCTGTATTTTTTTGTTTATTTAAAAATGAAAAACATTAATGAAAGAGTTTTTTGTTTGCTGTAATTATTTATACAATAGGTGCAGTGATCCACATCAAAATCATATTCTACTTTATCCAGTCAGTGTGATGTTCCAATTGTAATAGTCTACATACTGTAAATCACCATTTTCATTAATGTTCTTCTAATGTGGATTAAGCATTTTAAATGAACAAATAAAGGGACCAAATGAATATGTTTCTTGTTATCTTGTATAAGAATCAATACTGGTATTTGCAAGTTACAAACCTATTGTACAAGATGCACTAATACACTCCATGGAATTTGTTTGTAAGCTGCACATTATCATTAATGCTAAGAGTAAATAATTACATTTTAACTCTTAATCATCAGTGTTTTTTTTTTTAATAATCCCTCAAGCTTTTTTTTATTTTAGTAGTTAATGCCCCTCTTTCTTTCTTTGAGAAATACCCTAATGACTGCTAGAAGTATCCCTCCAACTGAAAAGTGATAATTTCACAAATGTCTGTCCCAATATTTGAAATACTGCTACATTTTAGTGAAGGACCCATGTCCCAAAATATAGTAATCAAAACCAGTGATGGGCTGATGATTGTTAAAAAAAAAAAAAAATGATTGTAAAAATGTATGTACCCAATTTGAGTTCACACTGGTATGAACATTGAAATATGCTGTTCAATACATTTATTTAAATACATTCCCTTATATTTTCAATATTCAAGGGAATATTCCTTTAGCTCAGTGGTAGAACGTCTTACTAGGAAGTCTGGGATTGCGAGTTTGATCCCCAGTGGAAGCACACTACTCTCTTCCTGTGACAAATGGTGTCCGTGGCCCTACCTGTGGTGACAGGAGTTAGAACCTAGTTTTTTGTGGTGTTCAAGGCAAACATATTAAAAACAGGGGAAACAGTGTGGCAAATTCTAATTTTTCATAGGATTACGGTGCCTTCTAGCTTCGCTCTAGAGGGAATTTTCCTTTAGCGTTTGACGAGGAAGTCTGGGATCGCGGGTTCAATCCCCGGTGGAAGCACATCAATCGCTTCCTTGCTACATATATATATACTCACACGAAATGGTGTTTCATGTCGTTTTGATTTTGAGGGCGAGACACAATCTGGACTTTCCTTGTTCCCTGATAAAATAATGATACAATATTCAAATAACTGAGTTGGCAAAAGTACTTTCTATGGAATATAGACTGCATATGTAACTGATGTTCCCTCTTCAACTTCTTTTTTTTTATTTCTTGAATTCAAATTCTTTCTCTTATTATTTAAGGCAAAGATGCAATGAAATTTTGTATAGACATTGTTTTTATATCTTCCATCATTCGTTTATATATCATAATCTATTGTACATTTTAGTTATTTTGGATGAATATATGATACCTCAACAATAAAGACAATACATTCCATATCATATAAAATACAATTATGGATTTAGGTAATGGTAAATATAATAATGATAATAATGATAATTCAAGGTTCTTATATAACTAGTTTCGTAGGTCATCTCAAAGTGGTTCACAAATTATTATCCGTGGTTTTAGGGCCTTTGCAACCAGCCAATATCTTTCTCAACTCCCTATTGAGCATACAGCCAGTGCTGCCATTTCAGCGCTCACAGCTAGCATTCTACAATTCTAGCACTACCCAACCACATACTCATTTACAGCTGAACATGAGTAGACTGGAACAAGCAGAGTAAAGTATCTTGCTCAAAGATACAAACAGTGCTGTGACGTGTGTCGAACTCGCAACCCTTCCGTCATGAGCCCGGCGTCCTACCACTAGACTACTGTGCCTCCTATATGCAGTATGAACTTGGAAAAGTAATATTGACTAAGGTTAAGCGGAGGTCAATACCAATTTTTTCAGGTTGAAGTTTGTTACAGATTAACCTGCATATTTATGTTGGTGACTTTCATTTCATTTCAAAATATTTTATTAAATCAATCCGATTAAATGGGAGTTGGGCAACAAGCAAAGCCTATACGAGCCCTTTCCCTTAATCGTGACTTAGTCATTAAACTAACATGCATAGCACTCTTATAATAATTAACAAGGATAGTCGGATGGCGCATACTCTCCTTTTACAATGACAGCTGGGGCTTGATTCCTCGATTGGTTGTGAAAAGGCATTGGTCACCTGTCCAACCACATGGATTTTCCCTGAAAACTCTTGTTTCCTCCCGTATTAAGGACTTCTGCACACTACTAACCGGGCCAACAAGAGTGATTAAATAAATAATACTGTAACTTATATAATTAGCAGTCACTATCTTTCACGTACAACTCTGTTGTGATTATAACATCATCACTTGAATTGGTTCAATGTACCCTCCCTCTTATCATCAACCAGTACCTGTACCTTAGATATAAAGGAATGGTAATTACAAATTAGATACCTTCTGCCAACACAGAGGCCACCTCCAGATCATTGAGTTCCTGGTCACTGTCTATAGGTGAGACGAGTCGGAACGCCCCAGCATGGCCTGATGATGCAAACCTCCGCATTGGGGACAGCAGCTTTCTTCGTCCACCAGCAGTTCTGTCGGGAGATCCTTTCTTCATGTCATCACCACCTTTGCTGTTTTTCCTCCCAAAAGTCTCTGTTACCTCCATTGCTATAGTAACACATAGAAAGTGGCTAAAAAGAGCCAATCCTTTAGGTTTTCATCTTGTTAGTGTGCTAAGAATCAGACGTGAATGGCCCAATCATCATAAGCATTTTATTTCAGTCAACCTCATGCTTTAAATAATTTGTTACATGCTAGGGTTAGCATTAGGATTGACCCTAACCCTTGTTAATGTTCGAATAGATATCGTTATAATCTCGTGCTGATGCCTGATTAAAGCTGTAGATTGAGGTCAATGTTCATCGATATTAAATGCTGACATTACAGGGTTGAATGCAAATTTATTCCAGGGTATACATATACATGTATGTAATTCCTGTAGGAACTCTATCTAAATCGATCTAACGATCGGAACTATAAATCTCTTATTTAGATATGAGTTCCTACAGGTATTAGTAATTAGGGTGTTGGAGAATCCTGAGCGGAGATAAAATGGAAATCAGTTGTGCAAATTAAATCTTTAGATTTCTTATGGAAGAATGACACTCCAACCTTTAAAAGACGAACCACTATTATAATTAGATAGCAACTATCTAGTACATTCTGTGTAAGTAAAATATGGCTAAAGCTCTGTAATAAATGGATAGTGGGACTGTACATGGTAGTTGCAATAAGCCTTTGATAATTGTGTCAACTGTTTACTGTTCCTATGATAGACAATTCATTCATTAATGGTATGGTTATTAAATTGAGATAACAATGATGAATGTCGATTGTAAAAGCTCACTAAACGAGCTTGTGTTTATCTTTGTATTCATATCGACGTTAAATAAAATTTACTTGACTTAATACATGAATACCTTACTGTCTAAACACAGGACAACTCAGATAATACATTTGTTTCGGATTTATACCGAAAAAATATTTGATTATTTTATGACAAATGTCTTGTTTTGTTAATTTATGACAATACTTGTAGCTATGATCAGACTTCCCATGTATGTGCACAAGTCATAACGCATATAATAAGAGTCAACCAGTAATCATCTAATGCAGGGGCCCGTGTTTTGCCAGGTTGAAAGGGATTGAGGAGGGTTACACACTCTTTCTCTTCAGTGGAATCACATCTAAGTAATTGCATTTGAAAGATTGTGTTCTTTTGCTTATTTGTACACCTATGTTATCGTATGCTATTTTCACTTACTCAATGTCAAAATATAACAGCTGATCACTTCGTTTCGTTTTGGACAACAGTAAGCGTCTGCACGACTTCGACCTCTCTGGTCATGCTCATGGTCACATGAAAGCTTTTTAAGTTTACCTAAATTCTCTAAGGACCTGCTACAAGTAACAAATCCCATCAAGAGTGAAAGTGATATAAATTAATACTAAAAATTAAGACTATCAATAAAAAACACAAACAGCGAGCTGTTAAACGACATCTGAATTTAGTCTAAAGCGTTTTTTACCCATTGTAAACAAGGAGAACTTAGAGAGAAATTTGCATTTAAATCAATTAACATTGAGTTATTTCAAAATTAGTCAGCATTTAACCAGTATGGATCAAAGTGTTGGAACTTTTTTTAATATATAATGGCAATTGGAATTAAAAAGTCTCCCATTAAAAAAATAGTATCGAGACATGACAAAAGCTAGAAGTATACAGTTACTTCCCCTTAGTTTCACTTTGGGTATAACTGTAGCACAGTTTAAGGCTAGTATAATTGCACTTCTGTTGATCATGTAGCTCAGTCAGTTAGAGCGCTAGTATAACAATCTTAAGTTGGGGGACCAGATCCCACTCTAGCTCTTTTTACATTCGATCATTGTTGCTGATTATATTTTGTTTATTTCATCTTGATCATTAATTATTGCATAGAATTCCTGCAAGGTATGGTATCCTTTTTCAGAAATGAAATAGCAAATCTTGTCTTGACAGAAAAAAAAATCAGCTTTCAATGGGTCTAGTTACAGTTTTTGACAGTGCATGGTACAGGGATCCTTAATATGATATAAAATATAAGCGGATCGTATATTAAGGAAGTCACGGGAGCGTTAAATATAGGTCAAAATCAGTATCTACAACATGCATTCAGCAGAACATCACAATCTTCGTCATTGCCGCAATTATTATCCATGTAATACTTCTATAGATACCCAGATATAGAATAACAAGTTTTTCTTATTGTACATCGATGGAAGGTCCCATCCTGTTTCCAATACCTTTTCAACTTCAGATAATGTAGATTATTGAGGCTGTTTTTGTCTGGGAAATCTGGAGTGAATAATCTAATTAAATTTTAACTTTGAAAAGTTATCCATGGGTGTTCGAAAATTCCATATTTATATATCTTCATGAGGCCATTATACAGCTTCTGCGGTAGAGTGCTGATCTTAGCCAAGTTTCTTCCCCCTTAAGCCTATATAGACTTTTACCATCATTTAGGATATAAGGGGGTGTCTTGCATTGCCCCTCCACTGGGACATACATGGGAAAGGGCACTACAAGAAAGTTAAATTGGAGATTTAATCTGTTTCAATCTATTGTATCAAGTCTTAGAGGAAAAATGACCTCTTGTTCTGGTCTTGACAGATTGCTTTAAACGTTCCTTGGCTGTGTTTGTCTTCTGATTAGAGACATGTGATGGTCTTTACCTCTGTTACCCATACTGTACTTTTCCATTGGTCATCTTTTTTCCAAGCTTTGCCATTTTGTCTACACAGCAGCATCCACTGTAGTACTGTCTCTACACACTTGATTGTTGTGTATGAGCACCTGTTCTAGCTTTGGCAAATTCTTGTAATTGCTGCACTGTCTGCAGCACCAACTGTCAGTATCTGTCAACATGAGTACCTCAGGGCGGAACAATATACGCCCATCGAATGACATATTGTGCTATATACTTTCTTACATTGAAATAAGATTTGCATCATTCTAAGAGTAGTTAGCTGACATGCTATAAAAAATGAAGAAGAAAATCTCCGGACAAAAAATCAAATACTGAAATGAACAAAAGGCAATTAGTTTTGCAAAAATCATTGAATCAAAATTCTTTTACGGGAGACACAACTTCATATCATGATTATAATGTATACCAAGTTTCAAAGAGATTGGTCTAAAAATGTAGGAGGAGATTGCTGGACAAACAAGAGTTTATACCGGTGGATGGACAACCCCATACCATAATACTTCCTTCAAATTTGACGGGCGTATAAAAAGGCTACCTAAGTGTTGAGGTTCTCTCTGCTGCAGCTGCTGATACTTGCTGTATAGATCAGTGCTTCTTCTTCTGCTCTGTAGTTGCTACAGTGAAAGTCTGAAGAGGTATCACCTCTACTTGTCATTCTCTACTCTGGTAATGATGGAGTACACATTATATATCCTCCAATCCTGATGGTGTCTGTACATGTGGCTGAACCATCAGTATAGGTATATATACTTCAATGGGGTACTTTTCTCCGATTATTGCTAGCATCAGGACTTTCCTCACTGCATTGCTGATTGTTCATCCTTTGTTATTATAATGCAAACTATTAAATTTATGTTTACATGGTGATGGTAAAGAACACATTGATGCAAAATCAGGCAAGTTATAACAATTTTATTATCCAATCATTTATATTTTATTTTAATACCCGAGTAAAGCATATATACAAGTGTTACACTTTGTCAAGGTACTGGAATAACCTTGATGGTCTGATTAACACACCAATGAATAGAATGGAACCAGTGACATCAGTTGATAACCTTGTGAACTTTGAGTTGACTTGTATCATCAACATTTCTGTCTACATTTGAAGTAACTAAACATCCTCTGTCGTTAAGATGCTTGAATGACCTTGATGATCTGACTCACAATGTCATCAACACTGTTGTCTATATCAACAATAATGAAGTGTTCTGTTTCGTCTGGGTGTTCTAATGTGGCCAGTTGGGAGGGGAGAAGTGATGAAGGCATGAAATGATCCTTTCTCGAGTTCATTCTAGATTGTAGTACCTCCTCCTTACCATGCAAGAGTACAAATAACACGGATGATTTATTCATATTTTTCTTTGGTAAAGAGTGGGAATTAGGATCATCTGTAGCAGTGCCTTCTAGTAAAACCTGCCGATACATTTTCTTGAGCCCAGAACAAGTGACAACTCCATCTTTATTTTGGGAGTCTAATCTGTAAACAGTCAATGAAAAGTTATTATTCATTTCATTAAATGTTATTATTTTTGTGTTATAAAAAACTTACATTTTTTTATTTATTTTTATGCATCAATAGAAAGATAAAATAGCATTTATATATTATTAGTAGACATCACCTGACAAGGCATTGCTATGTTACCTGCACTGTGTATATAATTCTGATTTGTTTTTATGTTTTATCCATTTCTTTATGAATAGATTTAAGAGAAGTTACATGTATATCATCAGAAAAACAAATATGATGAAGGCTGTTGTATAAAAGTAGTGATTTAGTGATACACATATATGTTGGACACATATAACAGATTGTATTCCCGACATGATTAAGTGAAGTATGGTGACATTATACCTATAGTTTTTAGGCAGCATGACTTATAATTATTGTCATTTTCCATTCAAATAAGTTATGCCTGATATAAAATGATGAACAATGACCATTTACAAAGTTCCGATAAATTGTAAGGATTATGTATACATACTTCTGCATGTGCTTATGTATGGCTAACAACCAGGGAATTCTGTCCTGAAGAAAGAGAATATAGAGTGATGAGGTTAAACAATTTCATTTTAAATCTGACAGCTAATTATTACAGCAAATAATAGTATATATAGTAATCCTGAGCTTCCTCTTCCAACCATTATTTGCATATGACCTTTGACCACCAAAGATTAATCACATCATGTTTAACTTAAGGAGGCTCCACCCTTTAATGATTAACCATTAGAATTTCTTGAAAATTACCGGTACACATAATAGTTATGCAACCATGTAGAGATAGTTTATGAAAATCTAAGCTTTCTAAAAACTACTTCTGTTTGTTTGGAAAAAATACATTTTTTTTCTATTTTTTTCCTCTCTTTCGTTGGCTGCATACAAATCTTCCAGCATCGTATCGACAACAGTTTGTTGACATCTCCACCAAATAAATGTATTTCTTTTTACTCTCCTGTGCAGAAAAGTTCCTTTTGGCGGTGTTAGTATAGTTTACACTGTATACGTTATTCAAATGCCCGATACACAATATGGAAATGATGACACGAAAATAAGACAAGAAAAACATGTGTATTACCAAGGGTGGGAAGTCCTTAATGCTTGTTTCATAAAATAGAAGTGAGCAGAGGCTCATTTAGATATATCCCCACCCCACAACCCCCCTTCCCCGATTACGCTTTGACCACAGATTTGTTAGACATCTTGTACACAAACTCTTTACTTCAAAAGTATTAAAGTGTAATCTTTGACCTTGACCTCCGACCCTTTAGAATTGACCAGTGACCATCTAATTATCATCAGGTGTAGAAGTCAATGTTACCATACTATGGTGTAAATATAAACTAAATTTGTTCAGGGGTTCATGAGATATCTTGTACACAAGATTTTACTTCAAAAGTGGTCAAATGTAATCGTTGATCATGAAAGATGACCACCAAAATCTAATCAGTTGTAGAACTCAACACTACCATACTGTAGTGTAAATATGAACTAAATGTGTCCAGGTGTTCACGAGATATCTTGTAGACAAGCTTTTTACTACTGACTGACACACACGCACATGGACGGACGCACAGACAAAGCAGTCCTCTCATTAGGTGGGGGGTATAATTAGCCATGGGTGTGTGTGTGCTTAACCTCATTCAAATGCAGGATTACTTCCTGGTGTAAAACATGTGACCTTTACCTTTAACAAACATTGAAAATGATAGTTTATGGATCCATGGTTTGTGAAACTCCAAACAAAGTGACCCAAGGTGACCAAAGGGCAATAACTCTATTTATCGCACCTCGGACAAAAATGTCCAAAATCCATTGGTTTAGAGCTGTCACGTGGTGACCCTCTAATTTTCTATAAAGATCAGTAGGATTCCATTATAGGGCAATATGGCCGCCCACTGCTCACCGCTTCAAAACTAAAACAACAGATACCTGGTACCTGAATATTCTGAAAATGATACAATGCTCACCGTAATTCCCATTCGCTACATTGTATCGTAAAATGATAGGAGTTGCTTCCCCTACGCCAGGCAAAATTAGAAAGACGCTGTCGCAAGCGACCGTCTTTTGTTTTAGCGTGGGTGCCGTCCCCTTATCTAAGCGTTTCGGTGACATTGAGAGACAACAGCACAACAACAACATGGAGAGATTTGGGCAGACGACAACGGAAGAAATAGACAGGAAGCGACTAAACAGTCAGTCTGCCCAAACGCAAAAGGGTCCTCGATGCGATAAATTCGTTATATAGTCAGTTACTGACCCTCTACAGAACCATAGAGGGTCAGTAACTGACTATATAACTAATAATGTATACGTTGCAACTTTGTGTGCATATATACAAACATGAACTTTCTGTTTTCACATATTACCGGTAGTCCCTCATCAGAGGAACTACATTTATCTGTGAAGGACTAATAACCAAGGTTGCAGCTAAAAACATCAAATTCCCATACAAATAACCCATTGGTTTCAGGTTACAAGGTGTTTTAAATGATATCTTACTGTGGTCAAGGAAATCGTGTTGGGGGTTTATGCAATAGACAGTATAAGGCCAAAAAATAATATGTTTCAGGTAACATGACTAAAAACAATAAGGTTGGTGGAAGGGGTTGGCCAAGGGCTTATTTAAGAAATTTCAAAAATCACCAAACATGATGTTATTCAGACTACATTGTATTAATTTTTCACTATTATTTTTGATCTTTTGAATAATAATGAAATATGTATGGGATTTAAATTTAGTTTTGATACCTGCCTATGAAATAGAGAGGTGTCATAGAGAAGCTTAACATTTTCGGCAAGTTTGAATGTGACTTTTAAGCGCATTTGAGTGAGATCAAATTGGTAGAGCCAGAAGTAAAAGCTAGGGCCTAATCATTAATGCATGATCTTTTTCTGGTGTCCATTCCATGCCAATTTCCAAGGAAGAAAATGCCCTGTATCCCAGGTGGTGACAAATGACTAAATGGTACACCACTTGGAAAGAGCTTGTCTTTTTGTCTTCCAGAGTACAATGCTTGTAGGATAGAGCAAGTATTGAGGAGATTATTGAACGCAGTTCACATTGTGATTTTGGTAACTTTTTTCAAGTGCCAACATGAGGTCAGTGAGGAGTCAAACCAAGGCCTACTGATTATTAGTCCATTGCTTCTTGCCAAATCAATATCAAGTGCCATGGCTCCATTGTTCATCACTGTGACCTATTACTTTACAGGGGTGGTAGGGTGGCGCAGCAGATAGCGCACTAAAATGCAAGGGGTCGGGGTTCAATTCCCCAATCGGACATGAAAAGGTATGGGATCACCTGCCTGATCATGTGGGTTCTCTCCGGTTACTCCGGTTTCCTCCCACATTAAGCGCACTAACATCCGGGCCAACAAGAGTGATTAGTATAAGTTGTAAAAACTAGTTTCATAATTGTTGTAAAATAAATAAAGTTCATATTTTATATTACTTTACCTACAGTGTGGTCCCAATATAGAGCTGTTCATTTTCTTGGTCATTCACTACATGTGGCCTGTAAGGACAGACACACTATACACTATATAATCATATCTAATCAATTCCATTGTAAGTTGTGACCCTGATCCATCAAATGCCACACAAGATGTGTTTAGATACCAACCACTTCATGTGGCATATACCTAAATTTTTATTTAATTTGAATCAATATTTCAGAAGAGCTTGTGATAAACTGACGTCTAACTTTGTAAATATAAACTTTATTTATTTTACAACAATTATGAAACAAGTTATTCAACTTATATTAATCACTCTTGTTGGCCTGGATGTTAGCGTGCAGAGGGTCTTTGTGTGGGAGGAAACCTGAGTACCCGGAGAAAACCCACGTGGTCGGGCAAGTGACTCCATACCTTTTCATGTCCGATCGGGGAATCGAACCCCGGCCGCCTTGGTGAAAGGCAAGTGCGCTATCCACTGCACCACCCGACTTAACTTTGTAGACAACACTTATAGAATATATTAGTACTGCTTTCTATCTATGTAAAAGTATCAATTTAGTTTCAAATACCTCGTCTGTCAGTGGTTGTCCTCGAGACATCTTCTCCTTGTTGGCTACAGAGTGGAATTCGTCAGCATCACGGAATGGCAGATTTAACTATAAATAGAAAACAAGGAAAAAAAATAAAATAAAAAAACAAACAAACAAACAGGTAGAATAATTGTAACATGATATAAGATAACATTGAAGAGGTAATACAAGTAGAACAATACAGGTGATCAATATGATACTTACCACGTAATCTACATCATTATAGTGTGCTTGTTGTCTCCCTTTGTATTACATACTGACACATTCATCTCCATGCTATTTCACCCAGGCACTTTAGAACGAATTATATTTTCCACTACATAAACTGATATTACAGATCATTCTACCCGATAGTACATTTGTGCTTTACTTAATTTCATACATGAAACTAAAGAATTCCATTGAACTATGTGACATGTATTCCCAGCACTTACCGTATATACATGTCAAGAAATATCTCTGATGTAACTGCTGAACACTTATTTCACTCAAAGATCAGCTCGCTGTAACTATTTTACAATTTTCAATTTTGAAGTCTCACATTTTTCTCTGTCAAACTTCAATGTTTTTATCAAAATTTCCTTTTAATTTAAAGACACCAACTGGAAATATCTTTAAATCAGATTGCAATATTCTCATTAAAATACAATGTATATGCTGATTATGCTAAACAACCAATCTCAGCTAGGTACTGGGGTCATGATATATTTTGTGTCCTCACCAAGTTTCTATAACTCCAGCAAAAGATATTTTGTCTGGAAATCTATAATCCTATACACAGACAGTCTGTTATGAGGGACCAAGAAATACCTATGTCAACATGACTATAATTGGGAGGTGTGACAGAAAACCAAAACCATGTGTAAGTATCTCAATATCATACTCAAGGATTGAACTTCATTTTGATGGCGTATACAGTAGTATGAATGCAGTTGGCAACTAACATACTCGTTAGCACGTTAGCACTCCAATGACCATAAAGAATATGTCTGTTGCCATTGACGATCAATTCTTTATAGAACATGTTCTTCGCAATGTAGAAAACAGTCTCAGCGGGTTGCTACTGATAATCATTTGATTGTTACAATTTTCCTATGTTTATTTCTGTTACAGTCGTGTTTGACTACTACGAGGTTTGGTATATTCCATGTCAAATCTAACAAAGATACCTGGTAGTGCTTTACGATGAAGTTGAATTCTCACAGTCTGGCATGGCATAAACATTGTAATTCTACTGTAAACAGTTCTCTCCACTAATCTTCTGAGTATAAAGTTGACTATATTTATGAATCTAACTCGCTTAAAGAACTGAAAAGATATTATTTTAGAACGTTATACTTCCCTAAGGGGTATTTACACAAGTATTAGTTATGTTTTTTTATTAAGAGTATGCAAAATCCCCCCTTCCCTGTGGAAATTTTAAAAGGTATAGGCATATATATAACATAATATTTATTAGAAATGTTAAATGATGTGACAAGTTATCCAGGTTACTTAGAAAAAATGATATGGAAAAAGAGACATATCAGCAATACTTAAGGAATGCTTTTCAGTCAAGATTGAGGAGGACTTTGATTAAGATACTTGTGTCTTTACAACATCTATTAAACAAATGAAGATTTTTTTTTTTATACATTTGACATACACAAACTTTTATGTCATCACACAAACTGTTTGAAAAGTAAAAATAAATCTGTATCATTTATTGAGCTTAAAAAATAACAAAGGCTTTTCTGACGAAATATTAGATGTAGTTGTATGCAAAATGTACACGACGTGTTTAGGAACTATTTCAGATATGTATTTTTATTATGACATGTGAATGACCTGCTTAACACCTCATCCAGTTATTGAAAAGTAAATAGAGTTCTTCTATACGTATATTGAAAAGTAAATCTTTATTGACCCACAGACATGTACGCCCAAACTGTGTTTGTACACCGGTAGTTAATTAGCCATGCGTCATCAGAATAAACAATGTTGACAGACACGGTGCTATGTTTTTGTTAGATTATTGATAGATTACCCATAGTAAAACAAACATTGGCCATTATACATTGTATATTAACATTATTACGTTTGCAAATTCTTCGTATTTGTGAAACACAATATGATAAGTTTCAGGTACATACATATTTGCTCAGATATTGATTCTGAATGTCTGGATGGTATGTGGATCAATGTGAAGGTGTGGCCTATAGAACTAAGGTTGTCAGCTGGCTAATAATTTCTTACACATAATGTCCACAGAAAGTGTCATCTCTTTGGTAAAGAATTTTGTATCATATTTCAGTATTAAGCTTGCATGTTCATTGATACACTGGGTATGTTAACCTGCTTTTAGAATATTTTTTGGATAAAATTCGGATTGTCAGTTAAATTACATTCAGATGAATCTTGTTAAATGTTGTTTATGTGAAAATAAATCAATAAAATATTTCCATAAACCAAGTGTCATGATGACCAAAAATTGGTCTGACTTCACCGACATTGAATGATCCACCCCACCCTGCCTTCCCCTCCATGGGGGGGGGG